GGGGGGGGGGGGGGTGGAAGGGCAGGGCGGGGAGGAGGCAAACCTCCCGTCTCCCGTATCGTTCATTCCAGGCTCCCGCCCCTTTTTTTCCTTACCTCCTCAATTTAGCCTTTTTTCAATTGCAAAATACTAAGCACTGTTGTGAACATTTTTGGCCTATCTCTCCCGCTTTTACCCTTTAAGACTCTCACCTCCCCCTCTTTCGTTCCCCGCCTCTCGTACCCATCCGCACTCTATTCCCTCGTGCTCTAAACCCCTGTTTAGTTTTGCTTCAGTCCGTCAATAAGTCGTTTGCACGGTGCCAGTAACTGTTGACTGCGATTCAGAGTTGTTTGTTCTAGGTTAGCAAACCAGTTAGGTTTAATACCAGCAACAGACGTGATATAACTCACTTTGACTCTGAAGAGTCTCCATGTTCACCCGGGCGATCATGCCCTCAACCTATTTAGTGTTTCTATGATCTTAATGCATTTTATCTCCGTAGCTTGGGTAGGTTCTCTGGCTTATGCATCCGGTAGTCTCTTTGGGCCTTTTGTTGGACTTCTCTGCGATCGATTCAGCCATCGCAAAGTTGCAGTGGGTGGGGGGATGTTAGCTTCCCTGAGTCTCTTTGCAACATCTCAAGCACCCAGTTTAACAATGATGTACTTCACCTTTGGTTTGACATTCGGCCTCGGTTGCAGCTGTTTATATTTCGTTTCCCTGACCATATTACCCAAGTACTTTCTGAAGAGACGCGCATTAGCAACAGGACTGGTTCTTATGGGTCCTTGCGCAGGCTTGATAGTTATGAGCCCCATCATTCAGAGCCTGTTAAACGCCACCACATGGAGGGTCACATTAATAGCCATGGCGGGAATGACGCTGATCACATGCTTTCTATCATTCTCATTTGATTCGAACGTTCCAAAAGATGAGTGTCAAGTTATAAAGACAGTGGATGAAAGCTCTGATGTCAGGTCTTCTTTAGTTGTATTGACCTCTGCCAGGAAAGCTGAATCATCCCAATTATGTTCAACTTTAATCTTTTCCTACTTGAAGAATAAGGAGTTTGTGATACACTTGATTGCCAGCGTCACTTGTTTTTGTGGTCTAACCATTCCTATTGTCCATATGGTAAGTTTGCACGGCGTTAGGGAAGTAATGTAGTCAAACAACTCTGGTCAAACTCTAAGTCATGATTTCTGCGTCTTGATAGATTAAGCCTTTGAATTTATTTGAATCAATGTAACATTCTGACGGACTGCCAATCTACCGCCCTTCCCTTAAACCAACATTGTGTTATAGTGTGAACTTAATGGGTTAGGGGAGCGGGGGTAAGTGGAAAGTTTCCGAGGATCTTACTATTGATTCTTTTTGGTTGTAATCCATAGTAATCTCTGCCATCCTAGGTAGCACTTAGCCCCTTATGGCTTATTACTTCCTCTTTGGCTTATTCCTATTCAGTTACTTAACTAATATTTCGAGTTTTCCTTCAATTCTAAGATAATTTTCTACGTGACAAAAAATGGATCCAGTTATCGCAGGCTAATTACAAAAGGGCCAAGAAAACAAATAACGAGAACGCTTAGAACCAGATAAGGCTTAAACCATGCTGATATGATTTTTGCAACGATTCAATAACATACGTTCTGTTGCACTTATACGCCATGAGGTTCAAAGAAGACAAGATAAACCCAAAATTGCAGCCACTGTGGCTGCTGGTCATATCATCTACTGCTACCAAGTGCAATTAGACTTTTAAAATTTTGGCTTCTCCAGTTTACGGAGGGGAAAAATTACCGTGTCAAACTGGACTGTATTTTTGTTTACTCTTCATCATTTCAGTTTTGTTCTTGTTTGTTTTTACTTTGTTTTTTTTTTACCCAGGCTCGTTATTGCCAAGAACAAGGAATAGACGCAAACCGATCGTTTGTGATGTACTTGTTCAATGGGGTGGCATCAGTATTACTCAGGGCTCTGACAGGACACATATGTGATATAAAGAAATTAGATCCCAGATGGGTCTTGCAAATAGCCATGTTCCTTGCGGGAATCATTTCAGTACTTATGACACATTTTCGCTCATACAACGAGTTGTTTGCGTGTTTTGTTCTCTATGGGGTTATGGATGGCACTATAGTTTCCTCCTTGAACATCTTGGCTCTTTATACGCTCTCACCGGAGGAGAGACCTCAAGGGTTTGGATTCTTCCACCTCTGTATTGCATTTTCACTCGCGGCCGGTCCACCGTTTGGAGGTATGTATGAGCTAAATACCCGGCAAGCGGGCGGGGGGGGGGGGGGGGGGGTGTGTGGTGTAGGGTGTCGTCAGGGAGGGGGGGGGGGGCTCGGGTGTGGCTCCGCGTGTGGTGGTGTGGGGGCCGCGGGGCGGGGGGGGGGCGGGGGGGGGTGGGGGGGGGGGGGGGGGGGGGGGGGGGGGGGGGGGGGGGGGGGGGGGGGAAGCTATCAGTAAAGTTTTGAACTGTAAACTAAAGCTGTACAGCAAAAGATTTTACTCACAAATTTTGGGGGTCGTGTAACTGTGCTTAGATTGCCCCAGGCGCTTGCTTTAGATTTTCCATATATTTGTTTGCATTTTTTTCCAGGAAATTTTAGTCGGCAGGAAGAAGAAATTATTACAGACAAATCTATGAAAAATTAGAAAAGTGATTCTAGCGCATGTAGCTGCATGTAACGCCCTCAGTTTTTTTTCTATAGAATCGTTGGGAGTGAAGCTTAGCGTTTGTTTACAATTCACATGTTTTTCAGAACAGCCGTTTTACGGAAATTATTCGACATCAGGTTCTTATACAAACACTGTGATTTCTCACGCGGTTGCCTACTCGTCAAGATGGCTTCCAAAACCGTGACAAGGTCTATAAGAACCTCATTCAAAAGAGGAAACATGGTACTTAATTACAACTCAATACTCTGCCGTTGAATTATGATCATGAAATGCGTCCCATAAGTCCAGACTGCTAGCAATCACTAGCGACTGTAGCGAACTAATCGTGTCAAGCTAAGCTAAGCTACAGCCACGCTACTAGTAAGAAACTGCTTGCATTCTATCGGCCATTTTGATCCTGGGTTGGTTGTTGTTGTGTCAAACACCAGTACAGAACAGTTTCAGGGTCGCCATCGCTTCATCTCTTGGTTAATGCGAGGTTTTGCGGGAACCCGGGTCAAAATCCGCACCCCAAATCAGTCCCATAATGCAATTCAACACTGACTCAGACCAAATAGGTTAATTTGACAGACGAAATTGGTGAACTTTATAATTCCTCGCATCGACAGTAAGGTCATTTGTACTATTTCTCTTTCTGCCTCTTTTTTCGTAGGATTTCTAGCGGACCTATCTGGTGCCTACACCCTGACGTTCTATATCGCAGGAACGTTTCATGTCGTGGCCGGCTGTATATTGTTTTTGTCATATTGTGTTAAAGGTACAAAGCGCAGTCGAGAGAGCTTAACCAAAATGTTGCCACTAGAAAATGTTGTTATTATTGAAAAGGTCACTGTTTTATAACGGAAAGAAATTGGAATATGAAAAATTAACACAATTTTCCGCCATGTGAAAGAATGCAATGTGTATAATTTAAAGCAATAGAGTAAGCAAAGGGATCATGTAAATCACCAAACAATTTTAAGTATATTTATTAATTTGATTTACTTGTTACTGTTGATGTCAGCAAGCAGGGGTCTCAATCTGTTATAATTCTTTTTGGGACATGTATCTAAGGCACTTCCGGCTGAGAATGCCGTAAAATAAATAGTCAACACACTTTTAATACAAACACTAGAATTCATGAAAATTTGTCGCCTCTGAATCCAGTTTCAAATAACTTTTTTCTTTTTTATTGTTCAGTAAAAAAGACGCAACTTCTAGTTTTAAGAAGGAAGGAAAAAAAGCATTTTATATTACACTTAAATGACACTTTACATGAATTTACAAAGAGAATAAAAGGAAATCAATAGCAAATGCCTATTCCAAAAAAGTAATGTTTGATACTTGGTATCATAATATTTCGCTCTAAATCAAGTCGCATGTTTTCTTGACACTGCTCACCAGTTTTTTCATGCTACTGATTAGAGGGATTTTAATGAAATAAAGAAATTTCTCTTTGGTATCAAATCTGTTGTTCTTAAGACCTTTAATGCCTGACATTGATTTCTGGTAACGAGGCAAAATTGTATATTTGTCACACGTATTCAGCTCCCTAAAGAAAAAGAGTACAAGTACTTTGGTACATTAGGATGCTCGAAAAAGTCCCCTGTTAAACTGGCTACAGACCTCTGAGAAGCTTTAATTTCTTTCAGAGTTTACGTTTATTCCCCCTTGACTGGGGAAGCTAGTGCCCCGAAGGCTCTTAAGCCCTGACCCTATTTAAAGGAAGTAATCAGAAAAATTAAGTCCTTTTTGATGTCCAAATCCAGCGAAAAATGACACCCACATGAAGGAAAATCTGGCTAAGCATAATATTGTTTAAACCGGTTCTATTCCGTTTCGTTTTCGAAACAGGGACATAGTTTTCTACTGGCGTTTTGCTTGTACATACAGAACGGTTACTTCCGTTTTTTAAAAGGTTTATGTCCTGTGATTTTGAAAGTACAGTTTAAAGGAATCCTATTGAAGGATCACAAAGCAAAAAGGATCCCTTAGTCAAGGTCTGAGCACCTCAAAGCATTTTCTATCCCGTGGCATATGCCTCGTATACAGCTTAAATATTGGAGTTCCCTCCCCTGCGCTTAACGATACAGCACAGTAAATTGCCCCTTTGAGCAATTATGTGTCGAAGCGTATTTCTTAAACATTTCAGCTTCAGTAGGCATCTAACGCAGCTAACAACTACAGCAATGCTAATCTCTAGTTCAAAACGTTCAAGAGCTTTTTAAGCGCTGCCCGTAAATTTGAGTAAAACTGTATTGAAGCACAACACTGGCACCCGACTTGCGGGGCGTCAACGAAGCTCTCGGCCGCATGCCTCTTCACACTGAATTGGCTCCAGTAGCACTAATACTGCAATAAACAAAACAGAACAAAAAAAATGGGCCCGAACGTTTAAACATGGTATGTAGACCCAATAAAACTGGAGGTTTAAGAGAGCTTCGTGACTACCGCGTGGACTCAGTGTTGTTTTAGCATCAGTGAAATCACATAAATAACCATAGCCCAAAAAATAAGGTCGAGATCCTCTTATATCTAATTGCTACATGTACTAATTTAAATATTTTGTAAATCTTTAGTTTCGAGCATTTTTAGCACGATGTCGTAGATTGCTAAAAGCAGAGTCTTGGCTTATTCACAAGTCGCAAAAACCTGGAAAGCTAGGCTTGTAAGCTGTATAGGCTTGCCTCATTCCAAGGAGAGAATTTTTTTACCGACAAAATTTTTCACTCCCTTGACAGGGTATTCTAACCATGATCTGGTATAGCTCCAGTAGCTGCTTTGTCGATCATCTTTAGGTGTTGGCTCCTGGACTACACGTGGAGTCATACTCGTCTGCAACGCATTGTACAGTCTGTCTGTAAACAGATTGAGGGCGTCTATCACGCTGTCGTCTCTTGAGTGCAGACTAAATTCGTTGTCTTTGTACTTGAAGTGCATTTTAAGGGGAGGTGCGTTTTTTACATCGTAGCACCTGCAAAGGATTAATCAATATTAATCGATTGCTGTCACTAAGGGAATTAAAATTGCGCAGTGATACCGCGATGGACGTTCGAAAGTTAACCGATAATAAGTGATTATAAACTTAACGTTAATACCAACTTTTGACACATCTTACCCGATATCTCAATGCTCCATATTTAGAGTGCAAACCTTTTGATAATACTGTCAACGGTTCTCTTAATAAGAGAACAGTTGCTACCAATTCATATTTCTGCCTAAAACGAAAACCAGCAGGAAGCTATCTACCCTCGGGTTGACCCTCGAGTTGACCCTCGGGTTGACCCTCGGGTTGACCCTCGGGTATTGGTTATTTTGCCTCTACTACTCGACTAAATACACTAACAACGCTAAAGATATAGGCACGCTGGTCAGCCAGGTTCATGCACCCTTCATTTGATTAACTGATATGAATGACTATAAATACGTCACAACCGGACACGTAAACTAGAAAAAAAAATCAACTATTGGAAAAACGGTTAGTGTAAAACGCAAACTGCGCACTGTTATTTTCACCGTGCAATGAGAACGTGACAACAATAGTCACATTGTTTTCTAACCCTAAAAACAATGGTCCGCAGTCAGTCCACAGTCTTCACTTTACTCTGTCCCATTGGAAAAATTAAGACTGAGTACTCCCCACCTGTGCTATGGGGTCTGTCGCCTTTGGGGTAAAAAGCCAATCTGAGTGAAACTGGAGCCGTAATAACATGCATAGAAAACGGAAAGCGAAACGATCATAAAAGCAGCTAAGAAGTATACGCTATAGTACAGCGGGAAAACGTAAATCGACCTAATAGAACAAACTGAAAACTTAATTTAACAAAACATATTAACTCGATAAGGCTGACGGTAGAATGACACAAATAGCAAAACGGTAACCGTTTCAAACACCAAACCGCGATACCTCGTGCTCAGCACTCTAAGACAGTTCCTCGTTTCATGCCGGCAAAATATTAATTTATGTCTATTATATATTTTTGTTTTAAATAACATTTCTTGGTAACTTGAACAGGATACCTACAATCAAAGACTCCTTACGCGAACACGCTTGGAAAGCAAAACTGAAAAAACAAAGGCTTACCATACTTCCAGCGCTGACCCCTTACACTATACTGTAGTCAGAGTGATGATAAATGGCTACACAAACGGTGGACAATTTTAATTACCTTACCAACTCAACTGACAAAATCCCTGTAGTTCTCTTATGATTAGCTCAGTAATGAAGGATAGCCATTTTCAAAGTATTAAGAGAGAATGATCTAAGAGAGCGAATCCCTATGTCCCACGATCTATTTATTCATCGAAAACTCTGACACCTACTTTGGGCAGTAAATTCCATCTCCGTGCTCACGTTTAACGTCGGCGAAACATTCACAGCATTTCTTTGTCTCCAGACTGTAGCATCTAACAATGATCAAATCAACAACAGGCTTGATTAATTACAAACTAACCACACTAAATCACTTATAATGATCATTTATAAATGCAAAGAAGATCCTCGCAGTCAAAGACGCAACCTATCATAAGTTACGGAAAGAAAGCCTGAAAAAAGTCAGGCTTGCCGGGATTCGAGTCCTGACGTCTACGATACCGGTGTCGCGTTAGCTCTCGCTGGCAGCTGGTCATGAAATTGTCTCGTAGTATAGCCGGCAAAGATGAAGATGAAATAATGATGAATATATGAATTTCATATATTGGAACCGCGGAATAAAGAAATAAATGCAAAGAAGGTGCATTTATTCTTTGCATTTGTTTCTTCACTTCGCGTTAATATGAAATTCAGATATTCATCATCGTTATCATTCATATTGCTGGTTTCCTATGCAGTTCTTTATAGCCGTACACATTTATCTCCATATGACACCTCTTCGCCTCCCTGCGCTCACTAGATTCTATCTAGCATGTACCCTAATGACTTTTAGTACCCATCTTTCTTCCTATCTTTCCATGGCTACATTCGGTAAAGTTCATGAAGCTTAGCGATACACTTACGGAAACTTGTGGTAATTCCCTATTAATTCCTGTCCCTTGTGGAGAGGATTTTTACAGTGGTCACAAAATGGAAACGCTCTTTGATAACATCTGCAAAAAAGGAGTAAATCTGTAAATATCAATTTGCCCAATGCTGAACACAAATCACAATTTTAAGAGAACGACATACACCATAACTTAAGTTTGCCAATACAGCGTTTCTTACCGGTGGAGATAACAAAATCCAAGTCAGTCTTGGGGCGCTTTCCGTTTTGTCAGAACTGGACCGGCCAGACCATTCCCGTCGCAAATGAAAATCTCCCTTTTAATCAAAACTATCAAGCCAGATCAGTCAAATCCTAAATAGTATGCACGAGGGAGATGGTTCTTCAGCAAAAACTCTTGGAAAAAACCCATTTCATTTTCGAACTGACTGGTCGGGCAATGGTCCGGCCCGGAGGTCCGGCGGGCCAGTTCTGACAAATGGAAAGTCCCCGTGGATTCTGGATTCCACGCTGTGGATTTCCGGATTGTAGGTAATGCATTCCCTTGTACTCCTTGTCAGTGGAACTTGGATTCCGGAATCCGTTTTACCTTACATTGAGCGAATTGGTTAATTACTTTTCTTTAATGCGGAGAAGAGATGTAAATGCGACTGATACTTAATTCATATCGGAATAGGAATTCAATTTTCAATTCTTTATCTTGGCGTAGTCTTATTTCAAGGTCACTCGAACTAAGTCGACTATGTCGGGAAAGAAAAATGCGATGCTTAACTTGATTATTTTTGTGATTAAATATTAATTAGAAATTTACATCTGTAGCGAAAAGAAGTTAGATTTCGTGACATGAAATTTCAGAATAATGTAGACAAAGTCCGAGTATATTTATAATATAAAATGATGTAACTGCATGCATTTTCCTAGGCCAAATAAGGTGAAAGAACCTGCGATTTTGTAATAGTCACTCAATTTAGAAACATTACAATGGGAACTTTTACTGTACATGTGATTAATGTAAAAATACTGCCTTACGCAAGGATAGTAGAAAGCCCTCTGTATATTCAGAATGCACTGTTAGTTTTAGTTCTAGTCCGTGATCGTTGAACATGAGATTTGTACATCGCAACTGATTGTTGCATTGGATTCAATCCAATCCAACAATCTATTACGATGTACAATTCTCATATCGTGTTGTTACATCGAAAGATACAGTCTTTTTGATTTGTTTGAACCTTAGAGCGGGGTTATACGAATTCCGCAACAGACTACCGCCAGTCACATGTAACGTGGGGTGACAATAATAATATCGCGAAGGCCTTTTCCAGAGTTCATCACAAGTACCTCAAGGTCTTTAATTATTGCATAATATATCCCAGCCGCTAAGGACCCTTGTTATTCCTCGTTTTAGTTAGCTACCTTGGCTTCGACCAGAATCCTCAAGTTTTAGTTATTTTGAGCGAGAACATAAGGAAATGTCAAACACAGCAATGAACAAGAGAGAGAATAAAATTTCGTACACTGTCGTGCTGAAAAAAAGAAGCAAAGTCCCCCAAAAATTCCTGACCTAGAGGCGTTCTGGCCAGCTCCAAGCGAAGATAGTAATTAAGGCATATCCAAAAGTACTAAAAACCTGTTGCCTATCTTTAAAAGGTCGTTTTATCGCAATTGGGCTCGTTGAACATGTCATGACGACGCCGAAACGTCGTCTTAGTCCTGCGAGAACTATTGTTTGTTCGCTTTTGTGATGTGGTGAAAATCAATGTCTAGTTTTAAATCTCTAGTATTACGTCATTTGGTGATTGCACCCGTCCTTTTTATAGTGAAAGGCTATAAGTTTTATTAGTTAAGTCCCGTGTGAAAGCACGAAAACCTGTTGTACATACGAAAAAAAATAAAGCTTACCCTCGGCAATATGGTTTCCATGGTATATCAGTACTACGTAGTTCTATACGGCACTTACAGCACAAACCCATCTCAATCAAATGATTGGCAAACTTCTCGAAATATGTCAGGATTCCTTTCTTAAAGATAACAAGTTAATAACAGCAGCTTGAACGCACTATCGCTGAGATGACAAGATACTTAAGACTTTAGATCTGACTAGACCTCTTATGATCAAGCGTGCTTTATATCTGACACGATCTGTTCACTCGTACGGCTTGTGGTGAGATCATCAGACTTTGACCTCTATAAAACCACTGGCAGTACAACAACGTGTACATGTGCCTGATTTTCGACTTCCGGACATCAAGGTACCTTTAATTTTCATGCGTCATTGCTAGTCAGGCTCAACTCCCACCCGGCACATCCTGTTAAATCCTACCATCCTGATAGTAGCCAAAGTAAAACTTAAAAAAGAAAATGTGAATTTCCAAAATGCTAAGATCAAGTAGCCTGCGAACACAGCCGTTTCTCCTTGTTCCTCACCTTAGGGAACGTTTCATCACGAATTCTGCCAAAAAGGTTTTTGTTTCAATGGTATCATCACAGGATTTTGTGCGTAGATGTCATAAAAGTTTGAATGACAAATAACCCTTAATGATCTAACTCACTCTTGAAGTGACCTTATGTAGAATGACAACAGTTTAAATTTTTAGGCCAATGTGCCGAATTCTTATTCCTATCGTTTAAGCAGTGCTGAAAACATACTATAGATATTCCACTACCAAACACTTATTATATGTAAACATGACGTTTTTCAAATACGGCGGCGCAGTTTGCCCTTAGAATTACTGAGGGTCACCTTCTTAAGCGTTTGTAAGACAAAATTGAGTCGCCAGATTTTAAAGTAAAAGTTTTAAACACGGCCTCCAAGAAAAGCAAACTTCCTTGTTTCAAAGTTATTCTTTTATACTCGCAGTAAGGTATAGATAGATAAAGACTATATGCCACACTACTCGCTAAGTTTAAATCCGAAACTTTAGTCCTAAAAATGATGATACGTTCAGTTTTCTTATTGAAGACTCTATTTATTTGAATGAAACTATCACACATCAACACATCACGAAAACAATCTGTAAACAAATATGAAGTTAAATTTATTTGCATTTTTCATATAATTTTGTCGATTAAGTTATAAGCAAACAATATTCTAATGGACATCTTTTCATACCTGTACGCACTGACAAGATATAAATAATTATTTTACAAAAGTATGAGAGCAACATCAAAATAACATGCTGTAGTTGAAAGGTATTTTCAAAGATCGTCTTTTCTTACGTATATAGTTTTCTTTTGCGCCGTTGCTACAAAAATATAATATACAAAATAATTGCTCGGAGCTAATGCAATTATGGGGAACAAAATAGTGGCAAACACTTAGTCGATGGCGTATTTGCACCCTGATTTGATTTTACAAATCAGAGCTCCCTCTTTACTTTTGTTACGCCGCAAAGTGTCGAAAGCAACGGCCCTCTGGGTTTCCATTACATTCGAATTTAGCACCCTTTTTTCTATCGCCGCTTTCGGAGGGTCGCTACTTTTCGAGGTTAGTTACTTCGAGGCAATGTTAGGAAACTTTGCACTCTCGCATTCTCTCAGTCTAAGAAAAGAAAAACGTTTGTCACGTGGCCTCCGCGTAGGGGACTTGCTGTAAACCTGCTTCAGGCATTCAGATATTGGAAAGAAGAATGAAATGGCCGGATAGCGGAGCGAAAAACATCTGAACGCCTGAAACAGATAAGCTTGTTACGGTTTTTCAGTCCTGGGAAAGAAGTCTTTTACCAACAAAGTTTCTAATTCCTCTGACTGGATATTCCAAATAAGACTTGGTATAGTTCCAGTAGCTGCTTTGTCCGTTGTCCCGAGGCTCTTGGATCAGAGAGCGCTGGCTCGCGTTTCTCTGAAGGGCATTGAACAAACCATCCGAAAAGACCTTCAGAGCATCCAGCACCCTTTCATCTCTTGAGTGCAGGCTAAACTCGTTGTCCCTATACTTGATGTACATTTTAAGAGGAGGAGCGTTTTTTACATCGTAACATCTGCAAAAACAACACACAGTCACAGTGTCGTTAAAATTTCCAATTAAAAGTGAAAAAATATCGCTGTGTTAGTGATACTGAGGAAAAACAAAAGGGTTCGACCGGTTTTTAGCTGTGAGAATCATAAAGACCAAACTCCAATGTCCTTTTTTCATACAGTACGCTACACGAGGGGAGGGGGGAGGGGGGAAGGGGGAGAGGGAGAAAAGCGCCTTTTTCCTTCCTTCCAATCCCCTACACCTTTCGACGCCCGCCACGCACACTACGCTACACGTGCCATCCATGCACTAGCTTCTCGATAATTCGCTGGCCTAATCATCGCATTCGCAAACGCACGCACAAGTGAAACGTTGACGTAGACACTCAATCCTTTGTCTTAGGGTTTTTTAAAGCGTGCTTGCCTAGCTTGTTTCAAGTGAAAGTTAACGTTTAGGACCTTCTTTACGGTAATACAAGCTGAGTAAAAGGCTAAACCTGCAGTATCAAAAATGTGGTGGTATAGAAGGCCGATTGCAATAGTTACAAATAATGTTATGAGCCCATCAGAAACTAAAACACAAACCAGCGACCAGTTAGCGCTGTAGTGAGAAAAAATATGCGACACGTTACAACTGGTTGCGATTTTACCTCTTAGAGACTGGCCATTAGGAAAGTGATGGGGCTGGGGTGGGAATTTTCAAAGACGCACTGTATATTTTTCTGACCACCAATTGTAGGCGATACATTTTGTGTAATTTAATATTTGTAATCATTATTTTTTTTTTAAAAAAATTAATGAATACTAGTGAGCAGTACAAAGCAACGTATCTTTTTAATGTTTTCTATTTTTCTGACCGCTTTCGTCTGATCACACTTCTTTTATCGCGATTGCAAAAAAGAAACGTTACTGTGAACAAGAACCCAGCTTAGGGTGTCAACAGCAAAACAGAAAAACCTAAACACACACTAAATATATATACATACGTGCAAGATAAGACTGCAATCCTGCGTAGCAAAGTGTGCAATGTTTAATGTTGGAGCTCTTGGATTTAACGTGACGTAGTTGAGTTACTTTCGTATGGTACAGCCCCGCGTCACATCCTACACTTATATTTTGTGGGTGATTTGCTGTTCACACCCTAACTGCACTACGTGATTTTTACCATAATACTTAGGAATAAGATAGTTCCTTCAGTCTACTATGACTATCTTGTTAAACTCCCTGATGAAGTCTAAGAGATCAGGCCAGAGAAATATTTTTTAAAAAATTGAGATGATCCTCTGCTCAAGTTGATCTTCTTACTAGTATTCATCTAAAAAAATTGACCAAAAAAGGTAGCTTAAGAACTGTCAGAGTGCAAAAAACTCTTCTTTATCAACAAATTCAACTGACCAGTTTTATGTTACGCCTTAAACTGACGAAAAACGAATTTGGTAATTGATCAGGATCAGAAACCCTTATGAGTTTCTGTCAGGATCTAATTTTGTACACAGGCCTATGTGTCCTTTCACTTCCAAAAGTGACACGGCGAAGTCAAATTTCGCCACAGAAAACTGGCGAAAGTACTGCTGAAGAGGTTACACTTGAATGACACCATAGGATTTCATCCACAGACTCAAAACTGGACTTAGAACCGCTACAAACTAAATAAACAGTACTATATGAAATAACTGCCGGACAGGATTCGTTTTATGGTCATTGCACGATAAGATTTCGTCCACAGACTTAGAAGTTGGAACTACCTTACAAGACTTCATCATTCACTCTGGAATAGGAGGGGAGGGTTGTGCTCTAGCAAAGCCCTGTGGCCCCTGGTCCCTAACTTTTGTCATTGGGTGACTAGGAAATCTTTTTGTTTTTCATACAAATCAAATGCTGGGCACCCTGGATTTTACAGTTTCAGAGCACCGGGCTCCCTCCAATTTTCCTTAGAAAACAACTTTGGAGGGGTTAATCTGTGTTCTGTGTAATCTAGTTTCTTGGACACTTTATTCTCTCTGTTGCAAGCAATACATTCTGATACTCTTTGCATACACGAGGGAGTGAAACCAGAGTATCCAGAGAGAAAATAAGAGCTGAAAACCGTCGATCTTATCACAACTGCACCCATCTTTTCTTGGGCAGGAATTTGTTTTGAACATTGATGGCGAGGGCGGAGGCAGTTTTTTAATCATTTTTGTTAGAGGGTCCCCAGTAGCAGATCTATAAGAGTATGGGAGTCTATTTGCTTTTAAATAACATTGACAGTTTTCTTGCTGGCTGCCCATACCCCCGCTGTATTTTTTGGCACGCAGTAAAATGCAAACGATGGTACCTACTTTTCACAATATATTCCATCTCCATGATGAGGATTAACGACGGCGAAACATTCACAGCATTTAGCTGTTTCCATAGTGTAACATCTGACAGAAAAAAATAAAAACCGAAAAGCTAAGATTAGTTAAGAACATTTGATGTTCTCCCAAGCTAAGAAAAAAAGATCGCTGTACTTTTGCACAATCCCTTGTTTCTGTTAGCGTTTTTTTTCTTACCTTCCATCAGAATTCTTAAGCTTAAAAAAGCACGTGGTACCGTAAGTTTCATAGGATAATCTTGGCAAAGATACAGGCACATTTGCTTCCAACTGAGGCTCTGAAGAGTCATTAATATTGGGTTTAAGCGCGTGCACGCTCGTTCACGCTTTACATGTACCATGTTATAGCTTAATAATACACACACCAAGCATTTGACTTACGGGAACTTGTGGTAATTTCCTATTCTGGCCTGGCTTTTAAGAATTGGATTATTACAATACTCGCAAGATGGGAACGCCCTTTGATAACATCTGAAAGACAAACCATGTACTAGTTCAAAATTTAGGGCCTGTTTACATGGAGGTGGGGTAACCGGCCTGCCCACCTCACCTATCTGAGGTTCCCCACCCTCATGTAAACAGGCCCTTAATTATATATAACAATCTAAGACTGATAATTGACCTCTTTTGCAAGATGAAAGTAAATTGGCTAGTGTCAGGCTTATCAGTGAGTAGAATTAAACAGTGTCGCCACTAGATTTTCCCATCTCTAAAAAAACCGCGAAAAAAAAAGGATTAAATTAAAGGTCACAAAACAAATATATAGGTTGCGAAGAAAATTATCTTCTTACATCCAGCGGGATAAAATCATCGAGGTCTTTTGCAATCGGAAAGTGGGGTTTGGAGCGTAAGACGTCTGCTCTAGCGCGCAGTCAAGAAAGGGTCTGGAAGCCTTTACCATAGTTAGCAGAAGAAACTGGCTCTATGAACGCTGGCAAAAATTAAACTGAGATGAAAATAACAGCGCTGCAGTTTACATTGCGAGCTCCCTGACCTTATGGTCTTTTTTTTCCGGATTCACAAATTGTGACTGAAAAAAGTAGCCCCCGGGAAAGTATAATGGGACTTCTCTATTGGTCTGCGGTGAGTTGATAGGAATGCTGGTGAACGTTGTGAACGGTCACGTCCAAAAACGCCAACAAAAACGTATAACAAAGAAAAAACGATGAGTCTGGCGAGCTTCAAAGCCATTATTTGCACTTTATCAACTATGTAATGGGGGGACAATGGATTTCAAATGACATTGTAGTCATGTAGGACCGATATAAAGCTAAGGAAATTATTTTGGGGCCTGACACAGATTAATGCAAAATATTTAGAACGTTAAGATTTCCTCGAATCTCACTGTTTTGGACAATACAAGAGGGAAAAGGATAACAGAATCATTTCCATATATTTTTTAAGAATAAACGCAGAATATTTTTTAGTTGGCATATATAACAGATTGATAAAGATGGCGACCTCTGCAGTGACTTCGAAAGAAAAGCCAAGGGAAGTCGAAAGCTAACCAGTTTTCTCAAGTGAAAGTTAAATTTTTTTTGTTTTGTTTTGTTCTTTAAAAGTTAAAGGTATTTAAAACATAACCCCCAAGGGATGTACTTTAATCAAATGTTATGTACTTTGACATGTTTCACTTTCGCACGAAACTGTATATTTTCCTCCACAGTTATGTTATAAAGCAGCATATTTTAAGATAAACCCGCTCTTTGTGATGCACATATTTGTCTCAAACGTCTCTTTATCACGTCAACAAGATTCCGGAAAACTCTCTGTTGCCATCTAATAAATTACTCTTTGTTCTCCATCTGCGTGTAGCGTGGATTTTAGCAAAATTTTCATGATTCCTGTCCAGACCCTGCTTGTTCAAACGTTGGATAGCGCTATCGACCGGATAAATCATAGCCTGCGTAGTAAGCGTTTCCAATCGAGTTATTGCGTCATTCAATTTTTTTTTGCTCTTGTCCCAGCTTTCTAGACGAACCTCGCGAGGAAACGCTTGCTACGCAGGCTAGATAAATCACTATCCAGCGGATAAGTATTAGGGAAACCGATTAAGCTATCGCGCTAGATAGTGATTTATCCGGTGGATGGCGCTATCCAACGTTTAAACGACCAGAGAGAGGTTGTTACGTCCTTTTTGAAAGAAAACCGCTTTCGTCCGCTTTTAGTTAGATATGCCTTTGGTAGCGTTAAAATCTGTAGTCATTCTCAAGGTTGTCCGGTTTTGGAGAACGTACTATTTAACGAAAGCAATGTATGTTGGTAGACTAGAAACGCCTGATACTCAGACTAACTAGTCTGAAACGTTATACGTCTCCAACCCCCATTACAGACTAGTTGGTAGACAAAAAGACCCTTAACACGTGAGACAATAGAGATAGAAAAGACCGATGGTGTTCCCACATGTCTGACTCGTTCGCAGTTTTTGGGCGAAGGAACAATTGTCATCCCATGATAAAGGTCAAAACGTTTACGTAACAAATGTCTGGAATGGCAACTTGATTTAACCCTACAAGCTAAGAGCTAGAGGTGGTCTATGTAAAATGCAAATTGCTAATATTATGAAATCACGAGTTGTAAGACTGATTTGATGTGTGATTGGTTTTATATTTAAAAGTCTAATTTAAAATTTTGAAAATCTAATGATACGCGACCCTTCCTTACCCTCGACAATATGGCTTCCAATCATCAGTCTTGAGCTCTATCCGGCAATTGCGACATTGATTATTTCCCATCTTTATCAGCAAACTTGTCCTCCTTTGTAAAAGTAGAGTCGGTACACTAAATCAGGATAAAAAGTCTAAATAGCTTGTGAAATGTCTTAACCGTGACTGATCGATTTATTACGAGCCACGTTCAATTTACTCAGTTTATGCTACGTAGACTTTGACCCCGGCTGAAAATAAGTGGCGTGCGGCACAAAGTACACAGCGAAAGAGAACGTCATACGCTAATCCCTGACCCTTGCCGTCTGGGGTTACTTCCTGATAAAGTTAGTCTCACGCTGTGGAGACAAGGAGATATTCCAGAGTTCCGTCACGCGTTCCTCGCCTTAGAACGTCTGCGTGAGCCGGCTGTGATACACGCGCCTTAGACAAAGAAGGGCTAGGGGACGTAAAAATGGTGTCCCCAATCAGAACCATTGGCACTCAAATAATAAAGTGCGTTTTCCACCCTGGTGAGCCAGACTTGGCCTGTGGTGTCAAAGAAGGGTCACAGTCTGACAAGAGACCCAGCACACAGCAAAACTGCGCCTGCTACGCAGGCTATCCGCGAACACTCAAAAGAACGACACAGAAAGGAGATCCAGATTGTGCTAGCATACTTTTTGGCATAATTCGTCATTGCGAACATTTCCACCCATTTCCTGAAAAGAGCACTGCTAGCATAACTTGCACATTTGCTAGTTTTGCATCACAAAATTGTCATTTACTGATCATGTAGCCTGTGTATAGCCGCCCCCTCCCTGGAAAAATTTTTTTTCTGAGGGGAGGGGCTGGCTGTACACAGGCTATTGATCATGCAACCATTTTTTTGGCTCTAGATCAGTGTTACAGACACTTTGACGTAACAAAATCAATGTGTTGTCTGCTTACCGTATTGTGACATTCATTGGACCTGGGTCCCACAGGAAGAGACCCAGCACTCTAAGGGTATGCGCATTTCTGGCACGATTACATGTACCCAAGATGGCGTCGCCGTCTATATTGCCTTATATAGGTTTGTATAGTTGGTAGACAATGAATTATGCACTCTTAAAGTTTCTATTGACATTTACTTGTTTGTTGCATAGTTATTAAAGTGTTTTCAAAGCAAAAAGTGGAAGCATAATTCCGCAACCTCGTCCCCAGTCCCTCTTCCATAGCCAGGGAAAAGTGCCCTGGGGATGAGGCTGATAATTTTGGAATTTTTGCTAAAATGAGCACAATTGAAAAGAATTAGCATAATTATTGGCAAATGTTTAGGAATACACAAACACTGCTAGAAGCATATTATGCTACTTTTGCGAGCATAATCTACCAAAGCCTTGATCCTTAGTCTCGATCAGTCTGCGTGGCGAGCGGTTTGGGTGGCGAGCGCGTGCGCGCAAACGAGCCGCGAACCCGCGAGAAGAATAGAGAAGTGGCTTGCTGCTCGCAGTTCGCGCGCGCTTGCCAAGAAAAAGCGCTAGGGACGCTGCGAGCAGAGGTTTCTCTCTTCCATGGCTTTTAGTTTTAGCGTTCACGAAGTCGTTCGCGTGGCTTGTCAGTCGCGTAGTTGGTTTGTTGTATTCGCCCCAGCAAACAAACCAGCTACGCGACTGACAAGCCACGCGAACGACTTGGTAAACGCTAAACCTAAAAGCCATGCAACAGAGAAACCTCTGCTCGCAGCGTCCGTAGCGCTTTTTCTTGGCAAGCGTGCGCGAACTGCGAGCAGCAAGCCACTTCTCTATTCCTCTCGCGGGTTCGCGGCTCGTTTGCGCGCACGCGCTCGCCACCCAAACCGCCCGCCACACATGCAAGAGAGAAACTTCTGCCCGCAGGGTCCTCCTGCTGGGTATTCTCATAAAATAGCAATAACCAAAAAGTTGCAAACACGCAGTCCCGTAGGACGCAAAGATCGATCAATCGATCGATATGAACATGTGTATTTGTAGAAATATCCCGTTCGTGTAATTTCTGTGGCAGTTATTCTGAATGTTGTTCAACGATGCATTTATCTTTTAGCTTTTGTTGTACTTTGAAATAGAAGGACTATATTTTAATTTCAGTATACTATAATAAAGAGTTCTGGAGTTTGTCTTCAGATTAACTGTCTGGTTACACTGGAGCTCACTGGTTTTGGACTGGGACACATGATTTTTCACGTTACCTTTTTCACAAGATAAGTCCCAGGCTTCACCATAAAGTATTTTTGAACAAAATCACTGTCATAGGGACCATCGTTCTCCTCACCCTAATAGTCTGGAGAAGAGCGGTTGAAAATCTAGTATTTTTATATTTTATACAGCGAAAGATTTGGTGATATTCAATAACGCCTGCTTAGCTTCAGAATCTGGAAATGGATCTAAGGACTCCAGAGCTTTGTTTGCATAAAATGAACATAGTTCTTCCATCTCTTTGACTGACTGGTTGCTGGTGACTAAGTTTCTTAACTCCTCCTGGAATGCACCAAGTTTCTCTGAGTTTTTCTCCTCAAAGATACAGTTAACCAGTTTTTTCACTTCAGTTTGTCCACTGGCCAGAATCACTGGGGCACTGTACAACACAGTGGGAGATTTACGTTCAAAAAGAGAATGCAGGTCCTCCTTCAGCTGGTGAGCATAAGCAAGGTTCTTGCCAAACTCAAAAGCCTTGTTCTGAAGCTAAAAGAAATTTGGCAAGGGAATAATTAATTATTTGAAGACGAATCTGTTTAATAGTACAATGAAGCAGCTGTACCTTTTGGAGATTTCACATTCATCTCTACATTTCTTCATGTGAACTGAGTAATGAATTCACATGTGAGGTAGCAAAGTAATTCCTGCCAGCTCAGTTTTCCTGAATTTAAATGACATGGCTTTAAAGAAATCTTATCTATTCCAATATTTTACAATCTGATGGAATACTGAGAAGCTGTATTCATTATGCATGAAACAGTTGCCAAGAATAACAGGTTCATACCCTCATTAGTAATCAATTCACTGATACAGTCTATGGCAAGCCCTGGGATTTCAAATCCCATTGACAACAATTTTATGGTTCCGTGGCCAGAGATCATAGGTAACCATCTGTAACAATTTTTGGTTAAATGAAAATTCATGGAAACTCACCTCCTAAATATTTTCAACTTTTCGAAGCCATATTATTACTTTTTTTTGGCACTGGAAGCCATAAACCAGTAACGTGCAATGCACTTAAGGAACGTGGATGACAGAAAACTGATAGTTGCTTAACATTTAGTTTCCTATAAAAGCCGAGTCATAACTATAGAATTGCTCTACTAGAGAAGAATCTGGGTGGGAAAATGGTAAATTCCTGTAAATTGAGCCTTACACACTGTAAGGCTGAAAATGTCACTGGCAAACTATTTTTCAATTTCCAGTACCAGAAACGATCATTACCATGAAATGCTAGGGCTTGTATGGGGGTTTGCTTGATCTGGCTTGACTGTAATAACTACACCGTAGTTAGAGTAGCCCTTACCTCAGTTGAATGTGAAACAATCTTAAGAGCAGCTTTACAACTGTTTGCCATTAAACTTCCTTTACATTTGAAGACCAGCTCATTCCAAAAATCCAAATTCAAATTTTGACCACTAAATGCCATTTTTAAGAATTCGCCTTCCATAAGATGTCCAATTACTTCAGATATCATGCAAACCACTTCAGTATTTTTAAGTTCTGCCAAGCCAGTACAGGCATTAGCCAGAAGAAAGTCGCCACTCAGTACTGCCATTCTGTTGCCAAATTCCATGTCATCCTGATAAGATTTACTGCTTGACTCAATGCTGGACATATCAACTATACCAGTGTGAACCAAATTAGCTGAAATAAAATGCAAAGGAGACAGTTATTAAAGTAACTACAGTTGAACCTCCATGTGCGATTACTTCTCATAAGTAAGCACCTCCCATAAGCAACCACCTATGCAACAGACCAAAGTATACGCCATCAAAGCCTTACAGTTGGAACCTCTCATAAGCGACAACATCCTGTAAGCAACCGTAACCATTTTTCGGGACTGATGGTTTAATAATTTTCCATTGTCTTTAACCTCTCGCAAGTGACCACTTCACTAATGGTCTGAACTCTATGATTGCTCTATCGACTGTGTTACTAAGAGTATACATATGAAGAAATTTTGATGACAACATGGAACTAATGTACACATATCGTAACTTAGAAATTGCATGCAATAAATTGATCCTGGTAAAGCCTAGCTTCAAAACATTTCTAGACAATCTGGATAACTGGGACGATTGGTAGTTTCCATACAATCAACAAGAGATGCGGGGTTGTCAGCAATTTCTCTTCGTCAGACAATAGAATTGTTGCACATGTTTCACAAACAAGCCAAATATAATCATGTTGGATTTTAATTGGATAGTGAACCTCTGCCTTGCTATCTGCTTTTTCTCCAAATCAAAAAATTTAATCTTGAAAAACTAAGACAAGCCATCCCAATCTTTGGCGCTAAATTATGGAATAAGATACCAGATGGAATGATAGATACATGTATGTAAAAAAATAAAACATTAAAACGAAAATAATCAGCGTGCTCTTTGAAATATTAAAAGACAAAGATGATAACTTTGATGCCACCATGATAAAGTGAGAAATAGAATCGTGAGATCCCAAACCTTAGCTTCTTCACAACTTGCACAGATTTGTATTTCTTGCTTTTGATGTTATTTTCTAATATTCTTTCTTTTCTTTTCCTTTTGCTTTTAACTTATTATCAGGTGATATCTGGTTTTAATAGAAAAATATTAATTTGGCATGCAATGACTAGCATTTTGGGTAACTGCATGCTAAGAAATTGTAAGCAGTAATAAGATAATAAATATCTTGTCTTGTCTTGTCCCATCCATTTTGAATTCGCAAATTACTCTTTCTTTCTCTTTAATTTGGAATTGAAACAACAAGTACAGTCATACATTCCCATTGTTCCCTTGAGAGCCAAATCCAATTCCAGACCAAAATGGGCAAAGTCTACAGTGTACAGCTGTTTTCAGACCAAAACAGCATAAAAACCATACCCATTGGGACGGTACATACATATACAGTGTATGAGTTATATAAGGGAGTACCCACCCCCTCCTACCCCCACCCCGGTCAAATAATCTACCTCTTACAGTACGTCTATACATATATATTTTGCAAACAGACAAGCCAATTGAAGTTATTCTTCCAAAGTTTGTCCAGAGATCCCTAGACTGAAAATTCACCTACAGTCAACTCTCTTTTGGGGCCTGTATAAAAGGAAAGAGAGTTAACCTTGTGCTAGGGTTAACCTAGCAAGTGGGTTAAAGTTACCTCTTGTTTACAAACAAATTTCACAGGTAGGGCTACCCTATCACCCGGGTCAACTTTATCAGCTTTACTGACGTGTTTCGTCATGTGTGACATTCTTTGTAACGTCCAAGGTTTGAAATAAAACTTGAAGTTCTCTATGGAAAACATGTTAAACTAACGCAAAAAAAAGGGAAAATATTATCATCATATACCGAAAATACCTTGTATTGTTCAGATTTAGCTCAGAAATTGGATAATCCTGTTCAAACTGTCAAGACTACTGGTCATGCATGACAGAGGAAAGTTGTCCCGGGTAGGTGAGTTATCCCTAGCAGAGCATTTACAAGGCAGGAGGGGAAATCCTCTTGCTAGGGTAACCCTAGCACTCAGGCAGGGTTACCCTGCCTTGTAAACACGTCATGTACAAAAGAAGAAATGTGAGACTGCTAGGGTAACCCTTGTGCTAGGGTAACCCTAGCACAAGGGCTACCCTACCTTCTTGTAAACAGGGCCTTAGGCTGACAACTGTGGGGCAGGCATAGACTGCTTGCAGTCTGCCTTTTCTCTTAAAATCCATCTAGTTCTTATCTCGGCTGCGAGGGAGACTATATCTCATCCAGCGCGATAGCAAACCACGACATTATTATTAGAATAAGGGATTGAGACCAGACGAGAAAAGACGGAATGCTGACTCTTTTGTAGAAAACAAACCCTCTGTCAGCCCAGAAACAGAGTAACCAATTAGTGAATTGCAGAACTGTTGACAGATAATTGACTGGTCTGTGGTGAGATTGCAAGCAATAAAAATAGTCACGCATCACAACCAACTGCAAACCATAACGAACCAAGCAGTAATCTCAGTAATAAAACTTTAAAGATATGTTACAGAAGGAAACTGCCATAAATTTCGTCAAAGGAAACTAGTTCAAGGCCATCTTACCGGATTTGAAGAAAGTGTAATTTTTTCAGTTGTTTATGTTCTATTTATAAATTGTTTCAAGTTACGCGGGTTTAATTGATTAATTACATTACCTTGACAGCTTCGTTGTCCCCAGACAAAACAAAAGAGTCAGCAGTCTCTTATTTTTTCTTCTCAGGCTTACGCCCTTGTTTCTCACGGCTGGCGGCTTTGCCGCTCTTGTGCTTAGGTTTTGCGTGCAGTGACTTTGCAAAGAAAAATAAGAGACTGCTTGCAGTCTAAGGTAGGCACTAGGTGTCCACCAAGAGAGATGTCCATCTCAAAAAAGAGGGAGTAAAGAAAGGCAGGGACCAACTTTAGGTGCCTGTTTTACTGAGGTGTCCATCTTATAGCAGTGTCCGTTAAGAGAGAGTCGACTGTATACTGAAATGATACTCCATTTCAGAAAATTTCTAGTTCAGTGGAACCTCGATGGGGACTGGCAAAATATGTTTCCTATAACTAGGTTTCATTATATCGAGGCACTTTTTCATATATTTTACTGTTATTGGGGTAAAGAAAATCATCCATTATACCGAGGACTTCATTTAATATAAAGACAGAGGTTCGTTATATCGAGGTTTCTCTGTAGATATTTATTTGCTTTGTCACTGACACTAAATATTTTAACCACTTGACATTTTCAAAAAATCCCAATTTCAAAGCATGTATATGTCCAGTGTACATGTTAATGTACTTGTTGGTGAAAACCAATAGCAAGATCGTGAACAGTGTGTCATCAACGTGAAATAAAATAATATTTTAAGAATTTTACCTGTATGTATGGTTTCTGTAATGTCCGCAAGCTGTCTTTGGCTTGAATAAATATCAGCTACCAGTTCCTGATCTGTGATGTAATGATCGCTGTTTAAACATGGCCGAGACGCTTTGGAAATCAGCAGAACTAGAAGTCCTCTAGTTTGTATGGTTTGATTTTCATCAGTGACAAAGCCTCGGGCAGTCCTCAGCAATGGATGTTTGCTCATGGCGAACCTTTTCATGTACATGGCGATGTTTGAGATCTCATCACTTAGCAGATAGCGCAAATTTAAGAAGGAGGTGGGATAACCGACTATTTTCTCTGCGTCCGAAAGGGCTTTCGTCAAGTCATCTTGTCGGGAAAAAGACCAGATACGTGTACTTCTTCGGGAAAAATGGTTTACGCACGGAGATGACCTTCTTCTATATACTGAGAGCTCATGCGCGAAACTAAAAGTGGAAAAATGGCGACTTCTGAAAAGGCTGTACACAGAAAGAAATAGCCTTTTGGTTTTTACCTTCTCCACAACGGCCGCCATTTTGAAGAGCATTTACCGCGCCGCGCAAAATACCAGTGGTAACACTTCTGCAACACTCAATACTTCATGAAAGTTGCGCAAAGTCTCCAGTATCGGTCACTTCTGTCTACTGCAGAGGATTTTGGGGGACATCTAAAATTTTTTGGAAAAAGGACAAGGCGGGGTTACCAAAATTTTTGACAGACGAAAGGGGGGGTGCTAACTTTTTTTTCTTCACTTATTAAAAAAGGAAGCATTATTTTGTGGATTTTTTTTTTTTTAAAGAAGACCATGATTAATCTATCCTTGTAGAACGTTTTTTGAGGACGAGTGTAAAAATCTACAAAAATACACCGATGTTTATCAATATATTAACTACCTAGGAATAAACGCTAGAAGCGTGTTTAGTAACAGTGAAAAACTAGACTTCTATAGAGAGATTGAGGGAATCTAGTCTGTCCTTAAAAGCACCTACTGTGTATCTTTCACATTTTAATTCGTCTCAGGTAATGCATTCCAGACTTTTGCCCCAGTGTAAGCAAAGCTTTTCCGGTAATCATGAATCTGTTTTAGCTGCCGGCAAGGCTAAATTCCACCTTGAGGTCCTCAGATTATATACCGATCGCCCGATGTTAGTTGAAAACATTTCCGCTAAGTAGACTGGGGTGATACCATTCTGACCATTTATAATTTTAAACATCATAACAGCTTTTTGTTTGTTTCTCCTCTCTTTTAGTTTAGACCAACCTAGCTTACTTAATAATTCAGTTGTCGGTGTCCTGTAATCAGCCTGTGGTCACACGTGAAGCACGATTTTGTAACTTTTGAAGTTCGTCTGTGCCACGGACACTCAGTGTCATCCCATACAAATATATACTGCAACAATCAAAGTATGGCTCAACAATTGATTGATAAACGCTTGTCAAATTTGTCAAATTTGAAACTGGAACAAAAGGCCTAATCTTTAAGACTCCTATACCGGATGATACTTTTTTTTTGAGACACTAGTAATATGGGAGTCCCATGTCAAAAACTCGACAATTTCCACATCCTAAACATTTGCTACTACCTACTTTTTTTTTAGCAAAGCTCGGTTTATAGAGTTATCAAGCCCTTGCCTTTGTGTAAGAGTCGCTATTCTTTCACTTTCGTCAGCGGTCAGCGAGCAAGATGTTACTTTTCGGCAAGGCCCAGCCACTCAGCGCGATTAGCTTTTGCTATTCATTCTGAGTGGCTGCGGGCGGCTCTCTTTTTTTCCCAATTATCTCCTTTTAATATCTTTACACTTTTGTATCAAGAGCACAATAAAGATTGTTGTTGTTGTTTTTGTTGCCTTGAACCAACTAACATATATTCAGTTTTTAAAAGGTTTAAAGTAAACCTGTTTGCTATCGGCCAATTTTGAAGGTAAAGTAAATCTACATTCATATATATCATGTTGTAGTTCAGTCATGCTACAAGCAGTGAAAGTCCAATTAGTATCATCTGAGTACATTCGTGTGGTAGCGTAATCAGTTTTAGTAAAATCCAACCAGTGGTCTCTTATCAATGCTGCGTTCTTATTGGTTGAGCTACCACTAGGCTATATGTTATAGCCTACTAGTAGCGAAAAGCGCGCGCTTATTGGCGGCAAAAAAGGATTAAAGTCTAGCTTTAACTAGCTAAAATTTTTATATTCTCGATATTTTTTACCAACTAGTTGGATTTTACTAAAACAATTATTCGTCTCGCCCTCATGGCCTCTTAGTCAATCGCCCATTCGGCCTTCGACCTCATGGGCTATTGATTCGAGCCCATTCGGGCTCGAGGAATAATTGTTAAATATTCAAGAGAGAATGATGTCATGTTACAAAGATCATTTATATATATTAGAAACAAAGTTGGCCCAAGTATTGAACCCTGGGGAACACCACATTTTAGAATGGATTTCTCGGAGAGTATTCTGTTGATATATACAACCTAAAATCTTTTGAGCACCCCCCCTCCCCCTCCCCTGCGGTATACATAATGACAAAGTGCAGTCTTATAGCCAGCGAATACAGCCGTTTCCCCCTGCTCCTCCCTAGTGAGGAGTTACCAGTTATATCGCAAAATTCAAAAACGGAAAGTGACAATCTTTGTCGCAGATCTGCTTGGTAAAGTTGGTGTCTGGATTTTGCGTTTGATCGGAAAAGACGGACTTCGATTTTGAAAAAATTTCCTGAGCGAACAAAGCTAATGGAGTTATCATAAAAAAGAACATGTTGATCGCACAGGCTATTGGCACATGTAAGCTCGACAATAGACTACAAAACTACGTACTGTATTTTTGCGTTGGTCCATAATGCGCTAACGGTTTGGAAACGAAGATTGCATGACCAGTAGTTTTCCAGCCTCACAGTCGGGGTGTCATGAAATTTGTCAAAACTATACTCTATTCCGTATCTTATTTTCTACTTTTCTGAGTCTTTGACCTTGCGATTCCGCTTTGGCTCACTTTGCATGTATTACGTCAACATCGGTTTGATTTCACTGACTCGGCGGTGTTGCAAAATTGAGGACATAGGGGCTAAGCTAATTGCCCGTGGCGATAGGAAATTAGGTAAGAAAAAGGAAAGTACAGTAAAGTGAAAGTTAGACAATTTGACAACCCGTCAACAAACTGTAAACAGCTGAGCCATTTCCAGATTGATTTCCAAGCTTCTCAAAAAGGTAAGGAAACTGTCAAAAGTGAGGACCCTTTTAAGTAATGATTTTGAGACAGGAATCAGGATATTGTCTTCTCATGGTTGAGACGATCATAACTGAAAGACTTGACACGGAAGAATTACGCGTGGTTGGCTGTTATTACTGTTGAGCACTGGACTAGTTCCACACTTTGTAGAAGATTATACAGTAAGTTCTCAATCATCAAAAATTAAAGATTAAAAATTGAAGGAAGGATAACATCTATAAATAGAAAGAAGTTGTCTGTAATTCAGCTTAAAATTTTAATTTTGTATGAAAAGTTATAGACTGAGAGGATTATAACAATAAAGCCTAATAGCAGTTTAATACACAAAAGCCTGTCAGAAATCATCAGGGTGACATGACAATTTTATTAACCAACAAAAGATGACATCTATTGCGTAAGCAGACAGGCGTGAAAAGTATTTAGCGCCTTTTGTGACCAGTGTTGCATGATGAGCAACAATACAAAAATTACTATTGCAAATGCAGTGATTAAGCGTTCGGATGGTTAAAAGGAAATTAAGTTTTTATACTATCGTGCTCTCCGCTTGATCAGCAATGCTCTCCATTTTCACGTCGCTATGGATCATGATCGTCGCAAAAAGGAGGTCAGTCACGGCATGTCCGATTTCAAGTCCCGTTATTCAGTAAATGGAAGGGATAAAGCTGCCCAGTGTATTAAACCCTTGGATAATTATATTGGATGGGAAAGTGAAGAAATGGAAGATGGGCCCGAACGTTTACGAAGTCGAGAATCCGATTTGACTAAGGAAGAAAGGATGGTGTTGGATATGGAGTTGTCTCCTCATGGACCAGGGTTAGATGTGTTAAATGTCTCAGATACAAAAGACATACATCGACGCAAGAGTGACGTGCGTCCGTTACCTAAAGCTGCTTCAACACTGTTAACAAAACAACCGAGAAGAAAAAGCACTAGCGAAGTCACGATAGAACATCATTATTGCAGGAATAACAGTAACCTTCAACCTTCCTTGGCCGCGTGGAGAAATAACGAGAACGCAGCAAAGTCTAAGCATGCAGGTTTGATCGGAGATTCAGAGACACACACGGTTCCACATTTGCCTCATTTGAGTAGAAGGGACACATTTCAGTTGTCAAATCAGCCCGAGCCAGTGAATCGTGAAGAGTCAATAAACATTAGACTAAACAATGATCACCGAAGATATGGTGCCTACACAGAAAATGTGATGGGGAAAAAGGGTTTAGATAATCAGAATTTCACAAATAGACAGCACCTTCCTGTACACAGCAAATTAACTAGGGGAAGAAGTTTCTCAGATAGCGATTTGGAGGATTCATTTATCACTGAAGAGCAGAAAGAAGAACTTGAACGTTTAAAACAACACATTTATGAAACTAATTCAAGGAGAAAATGCAGCAAAAAAATCAACGGAAAGAAATCTGATCTGTCATCTAACGGTTGTACTGGTAAACATTCGACCACGGAAGGAATTATTTTTCCTGTTCTGACAGAGAAGTCACTCAAGCGTCACTCTAAAAGTCACGAAATGGTAAACTGGAGCACTGCTCCGAGATCACTTGTTTTGTTGACGAATGGAATGGATACGAAAAAACCTATTTCTAGTAAGGCAAGAGCCTCTTTCACTAAAGACCCAAACTTACATGTTGATTCAGCTGATTATATGATAGAAACAGACTTTTATGAAAGTGGAACTTTAATGAACGGTGAATCAAACGAATTATCTATCATGCCATCAGCAACAGCACATTCATCAGAGAATCTTAAAAAACAGGATTTAACAAACAGGTTATACTTCCCAACTCCACCGACAAGCGAGGATGGTGATTTCTCCGATTCTTTTCCTGGAGTCAGAGACCGGTTACGAGCACGATCCGAACCTGGTGACGTCGGCAGTCGACGAACCTTTCCGACTTTTAAGCAGTTTCAAAGTCGAGAGAGGTCAGAAAGCGATGCCTTAAAAGCGAAAGTTCAATCGTTCATAGAAAAACCACTTCCAAACCTTCCTCACTCGACACTACGGGTGAAAAGGTCTTCGAATGAAGCAAATGCTAAATCAGGCCATTTTAAAACGGGAAGTGGCGCAAACATTGCCCAAGAACCTCGACGCAGAAAAGAAGGTGTTATTAACATTCACACTTGTCCTAACTTAAACTTATATTCTGATCGATCCTGGATGTACCAGGGTAAATCTAGCAAGAAACATCGGTACATCAGAGGACCAGCCACACCTGCCCCGCCTGTAGAGTCGGTTTTTAGTGAGGATAACTATAAACAGGGTAGTTCCTAGTTCATAGTTCATTCAAACCGCGAGGTCATGTCGGCTGTATAAGGATCACCGCCAAAATGACTATTAAATAGCTTTGATTAAACGTTAAAACTCCTAATATTTTCAGAATGTTTTGTTATGTTTCTTTGCCGACCGTTAGTTAGCTCTTCACCAGACGAGTGAAAGAAAACCATCACAATTCAAGTTTTGTCTGTTAAACAAACCAGCGCGAGTGCTCAGTTAAGCGCGGCAACTTGCCCTCGGTACTAGTTTGTTTCCTCACTTTAACTATACCAATACATAATAATATAAAAATTTTAAAGTTTATCATTTACATATAACACATATTTTATATATTTTGTAAAAAACGTCTTATTTTTTTTTTTTTATCCTTTAAAAAGGTGGATTTTAATATCTTTGCGTTTTTTATTTAGTGTGTAACTTTGTTGTGCTTTGCAAAGGTTTTGCTTTTTTTTTTTCCCGTTTTTTTTTTTTTTTGGGGGGGGGGGGGGAGAGGGAGGGTTAGGGAGGCTATATATCTCNGTGCCGTATTTTGGCATAAATGGCCTGTCCATGACTTCTGCAAAGTTATCAAAGTTGCTAGCAATACAAGACCATGCTCAAAACTAAGAGGAACAACTTTGAATGGAAGGAAGGAGGGAGGTCAGTATCATATCTAATAGACCTGTGACTAGCAGCGATTTGAAGCAAGAAAGGTCGTTTTGTCGTCGGAGTGTCCCAAAATTTTTTCAACTGGTTGTAGCCCGTGTGGCAGGCGCAAAAAGGGGAGGGGGTGAGGAGGGAGGGAGAAAAGCGCAAAAGGATCCCTTATCTTCTCCTCCCAATCCCCCTCTCTTTTTCCCTTCCTCCTAATCCCCTTCCCTTAACCCTTTCGACGCCTGATACGCAGGCTATTTAATAGCCTGATTCTCAGACGTCCGAGGTCGTTCGTGAACAACCTCGGACGTCTGAGAATCAGGCTAGCTATTAAGAGCACGTCCGAGGAGATGATCTTAAGTATTTCGAGGAGCAAACGATCTCTAATGCCATTCTGGCCGGACGCGCTGAATATTCGGCCACATTGCTAGCTAGTGACCAGCAACTTTATATTTCTCTGCGTAAGGAAAAGGAAATGAGTACCGAAGATGAGTTTACAAAATCTCCTAATTAATGTCACACGAAATTTAAAGGGAACAGTTAGGAGAATATGTCTGTTGACATTAGCGTTAGGTTAGGAGCAGCTTGCTCTACTGACGGGCGCTATCAACTGAGCTATCAAAACCGAAAGCCGCAGAAAATTTCACTCCAATCAAAATAAAGCAGGCTGTCAATCAAACCCAAGATGTTTTCCTTGCATACTCAGGGCACACTTGTTCAAAGGCCGATTATCGTTAACCCTGGGTTAAATTTGAAACTGGTCCTTACTTCTTTTATTCAAAGACATTTTATCTGTCATATTTAACTAGTCACTTTAGAGCGTTCAAAAATCAATTTCAAGACAAAAAATACTAGACTGCGAACAATCTAACATAACGTGGTTTGCAATCGCGCTGGCTGAGATAAGAACTAGACGGATTTTAAGAGAAAAGTGGTCTGCAAGCAGTCTAAAAAATACAGGAATTTGCCTGGTAAGCGCTCAGATTTGAACTAAAATTTGGGGCTAATCCTGGGTTATCCTACTGATCCTCAACCCGGCTCAGGTTTACATTTTTATTTACTCCACGACGCAACAAAATTAAGAACACCTTCATTTCCGTAGCTACTAACGCACTGCGCGTAGACATTCTTCTTTGCTGCCTCTTCAAGTTCGAACAGAAAACCATATTTGGAAACGTTATGCCTCGTGGCACTTAGCGACGACCTTTGATTGGTCCAAATAGCACTAAACCGAGGCTGACCTTTCACCTGATAGGCCCGGATGTATGATAACTGTCCACCCTGCTTTGCTTGCCTGTTGAATTCAAATTGGTAATGATCTGGTTTTATGTCGAACTCGGCTATACATTCCCCATTAGGAACTTTCTCGTACAGAGCTGTAACATGCAGTCGTCCCTTGAATTCAGTCAGACATTGAACTGTCAAGTTAAAACCCTTATTAAACATGGTTGTCATATTTTTTCTATGCTGGGCAACGGTACAATCGTAGCTTAACTCCCAGGTTTCGCCATTAGCCTGAGTTAAAACTACAGCAAAGTGAAGTTCGTTGCTGTCGATGTAAGTCTCAATATGCACAGGACGAAGGTCTTCAAGATTTTCTACGCACTCACGGCAAGAATCAACGGTCAATCCGATATATACAGTTGTAGGAGAAATCCCATCATTTTGAAGGAAAATAACGTTGAAATATACGACATCTGCAAGTCTAAAGACATTGAGCCATGTTAAATCAAATCCTTGTTCTTTAAAACCATTATATGTTGTCCAGAAATGGCTAAGTGGGACCATCAAGTCTATTATTTGTCGATTATCTACAGTCACAATCTTGGCAGGGAAGACTCCAGTCTCCCTCAAAGAACTTCCTGTACTATGAACGCTATCAGTCAGTGGTAATAGCCGTGAGGGAAAAGGCCTTGCAGTAACATCAGATGAAATGTGCTGTCGTGTGANCCAGGTTTCGCCATTAGCCTGAGTTAAAACTACAGCAAAGTGAAGTTCGTTGCTGTCGATGTAAGTCTCAATATGCACAGGACGAAGGTCTTCAAGATTTTCTACGCACTCACGGCAAGAATCAACGGTCAATCCGATATATACAGTTGTAGGAGAAATCCCATCATTTTGAAGGAAAATAACGTTGAAATATACGACATCTGCAAGTCTAAAGGCATTGAGCCATGTTAAATCAAATCCTTGTTCTTTAAAACCATTATATGTTGTCCAGAAATGGCTAAGTGGGACCATCAAGTCTATTATTTGTCGATTATCTACAGTCACAATCTTGGCAGGGAAGACTCCAGTCTCCCTCAAAGAACTTCCTGTACTATGAACGCTATCAGTCAGTGGTAATAGCCGTGAGGGAAAAGGCCTTGCAGTAACATCAGATGAAATGTGCTGTCGTGTGACATGCGCAGTTCGACTCAAAGCGTATTTTACCAAACCATCCAAGTCCAAGTCGCTAGCCCAAGAATTGAACAACAGGGCCCAAGCATATCCCCCACAGTGGCGTGTTAACACACCTGAGGTTCCCTCCATTTGTCCGGAGTGGCCCCATGTGCTTCCATTGTCCCTTATATCGAGACCAAATCCGTACCATTCCTCCGCGTATTTGTCGACAAACAGCGGCTTATCAAGCATGACATTAAAGGTTTCAGTTGAGATCATTCTTTTACCATTTACACCGTGTTCAAGAGCCAGTAGAAACTTCAGCAAGTCAACAGCTATCGCTACCCACCCGCCATGCGCATCAGCTTCTTCTATGGTCCACCTTCCGTACTGTGGTGGCACTCTACCACCCTCGGGGAAAATGGATTTGACCAGCCTCGGATGCTGATCATGAAAATATTCTACCTGTGGTGGATAAATGACACAAAGGAACATGATCGAAGAGGTCAATTTTCTGATGGCTCTGTCATGTCAAGTTTAGTGTGAAAGAGATCATGTAATCTGTTCAGTAACAATTTATACTGTTACTGCATACAAAGATTTTAAAAGAAAAGATTTGTATACTGTCTTACTAAGCCCTATAACACGCTTTACAGCCAGCATGTCAGTCTCCGGTATACAAATGTCATTCTTTTCTACCTATAATACAAATAATGTATCAAAAACTTGCGAACGTTTTGTGCGCATTCCAAAATTAGCAAAATATCAAGGAGACGTTTTTGCACAGAGTTCATTTATAATACAACCTCGGAAAAAATAAGAATTAACGCAAGTTTGGTCTTATATAGATTCTTACCTCATTAGCATCCAAATCTTTTTTTCGAGTTCTTCCAATCTTCATTTGGCTCACTTCTACACTCTTTAAAATTCTTACCATAGACTCTTCATAGGCCTGTCCCGTTACCCTCTCTATAACCTGCCCCAAGATTGTATAACCCAGGTTAGAATAAGCATGTCTTTTACCTATTAAACAAAAGCAGACAAACAAATGAAAAAAAAGTAGTAAGAGACTTGACAAAGAAATGAATGCATAGTACTGCAGTTTAGTAGAGGTGACTACAACAACAACAACAACAACATAATTTTATTGCAAGAATTAAGTTAATTATACTGTCCTGTAGGTAACAAAAGCTAATCTAGACTGTTAAATGAAGGTTGTCTTTTATGTAATTAACTGATAAAGAATTATTGTCATTATTATTTTTTCTTGACTCTATAGTCACTGGTGCCAGAAATATAAGTAGGCTTCTTAATGGCACGCCAGAAATAATAAGGGTTCAATTATAGCCAAGATTCTGAATAAGAAAAACTCAGGGGCATCCAACGTCAATTGTCGGAAAATATCTGTTCAGAAGAGATTTGAGATCTAGAATTTTCGGAACATTTGTTGTAAAATTTCTTGCTTGCCTGCCTCTCCAAGGATTTTCGAACATCTAAAAATGGTACAATTGCCCATTTGTAACGGATTTTTACCCTAAAAAGATCACCTAGAATTTTCGGGAGCCTTTTTTCTGGCTGAAATTTTCGAAAAGGTAAGTTTTGATCCCTCTAATTTTCAGACCACTAGACTTTCAGCTAGGAAATCCGAACAGATGAAAAATTTCTAGGGGATAAAAATATGCCTATGTCTACCGTTTAAATACTAAAATACGTTTAACAATGCTATGTTTAAGTGGTTTTGAACTATATTCTCATTGGGTACCCCTGAAAACTCATGGTCCAGGCTGCTCATAGTCTACAGAGAAAAGAGTTCTTTTTTAAATTCCTAGCTGAAAAATTCATGTCCTGCAGTCCTCACATTGTTACCTGGAGCAAACTGCAGTTTCCTTCCCATCATGTATTGCATGAGTACTTTTGGAGACACAGGCTCCTCAACATTCAAGTGCTTGCCAACCTTCCAAAACACAGGATCCCCAGCCCTATCTCGGTCCCAGCCAGCTGAGTGATGAAGGAGGTGTTTAACTGTTATGTCCAGGATTCGCCTGTCTCCATTAACTGTAGGACTGAATTCATTCAGAATTCCTTCAAAAAATTAAGACAGAATTGTAACTATCAAGATTAGCTTATGTTTTTAGTAAATTACTTCACTTAAGTAAATAGTAATACAGCAACTGATCTGTGTAAATTTTGCGGGTGCAGGATTAATGCATCATAATTGGTACTCAATAACTCTTAAGCTAAAAATTCTAAATTTATCCCTACCCTCATCCAAGTTTATCTTGTAAGCTAAGACAAGTACACCAATCCAGGCCCACATAAGCTGGTTAAAAAGTGTATCCTCACACTTTTGGAGGACATTCTATATATGCATGTTTAACTGTAAGTCTGTGAGTATCTCCTCCGGACTGTAATTATGGGGGGATCAGGGCCAAGCCATTAGTTTATATTGTTTTAGAGAATTAACTGGCACTGGCCATAAATAGCATCAACAATCCTCTAGGTGGGGGAAGGATCACTTCCTAAGAACATGTGAAGTTTTAATAGACCATTTTACAGTGTTGTGGGCTTAGTCAACCCTCTGAGTGAATGTGAGGTTAAGGTTGACCTTCTTTTGATACAAACCTTCTTCCTTTTCTTATGGAAATTTATGCTTTATTAATATTTTATTTAGTTAGCATAAGAACAACATGATTTACACATTACAATAGGCAGGGACATAAAAAAATAAAGGTCAACTCCCGCCTCGTTTCCATCTGTTACTATAAAATGGGCTATTTGGTCATTAGTATGTATCTATATGCCAATATCTTGTTTTGTTATATTCCAGTTACAGTTGAAGTTTGAGGTCGTAATGTTTCTTGAAGTGAAAAAACGTATACATGTTGTTATCACTTCAGTTGTTTCCAGATGTCATTTCCAATTCTGCAAATACTTCCTAAATATAATTCCCCCCCCCCCCACCCCCACCAAACCAACTGCTGGGCAGGGTTAACAACTAGGATTTTAAGGCATTCCTAGGGCACTGACAGCATGTATTGTAAAACTACCTTGTGATCCAAACACTCTGTCCTCAAGTGAGACTCTTCCCTCCTGTACAAGTCTCATGATTCCTACAGCGGTTATTGTCTTACTGATGCTTGCAATCCTAAACATGAAATTTGGTTGAACTTTCCTGCCTGCACCAGCACTACCATAACCTGCATGAAAATAAATTGAGAAAAAAAGGTGGGGCTTCCACAGTGGCCTAAAGGATCCAAGTTATGTTCTTGCAGTTTCATAAGACATACTGTACAAAACCAGTGTACATTAGCACTCCAATTCACCACTTTAGAAACAAAATAGAAACTGAACCAAGTTAACTTTTGCAAAGACCTCTGGGTCTGTTACTAGGGAGAGGGAAAGAAATTGGCCAATAGCTGACCAGCACATCCCCATTGCTTACCTTGACAGTAAAAAAGCTTTCCATCTTTACTAAGAGCAACACTTGCCCCCGGAATATCTTGTTCTGTCATGAAATCTAGGATGACATCATCAAATGAATGCATCAGATCTAATCTGGGGCCATTAGCTGTGGGAGATTCTGCAGATATTAATTCAAAGTATCATAATTATACATCATTTTACAGTGATAAAGCTTTTCAATCAAAGAACTAGTAGCTAGTTTTAAACCTACAGTTTAAATGCCTCAAAGAGACATAATATATTAAGATTTAGCCAAAGCAAAAAGCGGAGCCCCTTAAATTTACTTTAGACAATGGTCTCCAAAACATTGCAAAGAAATCCAAAAAACTATACTTAACCTTAGGGGAGAACCATGCATATGACTGAAAAACATATACTTGAGCCTGCAAATCAATTAAAAGCTAACAACTGGTCAGCGGAAAACTTAAAAAACATGTGACCTCAAGCCTGCAATATGGTCATGTGACACTGGTCAGCAGATATTCTGTTTTGACAGCTGTCAACTGACCACGATATGGATGTCTTTATCAAGTTAAATGCAGGTTCCAGGCTCCCGCACTAGCTAGAAAGTTTGACATTTCACATTGGTTTCCCTCTGGCATGGGTATGGGGCTCTTATTGCGCGCCCAAAGCACGCATGTACGTGTGAAGCTAAGACAAGGCAGTTTTTCAACATTTCAGATTTCTCAATCAGACTCTCTAAACCATTACAAAAGCTTATAGTGTTATTGCATCCTGGCTACAAAGACGTTCTTTTTCACTCCGCAGCCCCACCAATGAACTTTGGGGACAATTGTATGACGAGCCCAGAAACATACAGCCCTGAAAGTTTGGGCTGTCTGTGTTGTAATACAAGAATTATGAAAAGATCAATCCTACTTTTACAGTAAACTAAATGTGTTGAGTATGCTACCCTATCTGCCATTTAAATCCTTCCTAATACCATTGTTGGTTGTGGGAATGACCTAGTATAGGGTGGTGTTTACAGTCTCTGAGTAACCTAGAAAAAGATTACCTAAGGTATGCTATACTGCAGCTCTAATAGGAGCATTAATTGCTGGGACTTCATAGGATGCTCAAAACAGGAGCCAATACATGTATTTTTCAGATATTGGGTATCTAAGAGGGTTGTGCATAAAGAAATCTGTATAAAAAAAAATACTTTATTGAAGATAGCATTCATTGTCAATATTTTTAGCACAACAAAAAAATCAGATCAATATAGCTCTTCTTAGGTTGCCTGCTTAAGAATGTTTTTCTTTACTGTCAAATTACTGAAGCATGAGCCATGCCCACATCTAATAGATAGCACAATAAACCTACAAATGATCATACATTGATAGTTTATTACTATAAGCAGGGCTCGAAAAGAATGCAGTCTGGTTGTCCAAAACATCCAGAACACGTAGGATTCCCTGCTGGGCATTAGTAATGTTTCAATTCTCACTTGCCTGAAGAGCAAGGGCCAGATGAAGGCAAGTCATGTGCCGACTAAATAAAATTTGTTAAAAAACGTAAATGAAGACTTGCGCGGGGCAAGGAAAATTTGAGAGCTGCTTGTGCTAAGGGCAAGCTGGAATTCAAGTTTTTTTCGAGCACTGTTTGGGACTGCTTCCTTGAACAGGTGGGATGAAGTGAATAGTGTGTTCTCATTTGCTTATAACCCAAGTGGGCAAGGTGGGCCTTTCTTGCCCATTTGGGATTTCCTGAGTTGGTTGCGCAGGTAAAAAAATTCTTGTTAGCCAATACCCTGGCTGGATTATTGGCATTGTTTAAAGACCCAGTAAAAAAGGAAATTAGCCTTCATAAAGCAATCTTGACCTCACACTTAGTGAATAATACATTTTATAAATCATATACAATTTTAAAGTCTTTACGTTTTATCCCCAAGGGTGATTAACATCAATTTTCTCGAAAGAATGACAATAATTACATAAATCAAGAGAAAATGTTCCTGAGAATTAAAAAAAAAAGTGATTAGCTAATGGCAAATTTGTTGACAGTGTAAACAAATTCTCTCAACTTATTTTTTAAGAAAATTGTAGGGGCACCTGAGACTACTGAATTTGTTTGTGGGCTAATGATTAATAAGCTTATAGAAAGGTACCCTGCGAGCAGAGGCTACATTTTCGCTGTGTGAGCTGTCGTGCAAAAAGTAGTGGCTACTTTTCGCACGCCAGCTCACACAACGAAACTGTAGCCTCTGCTCGCAGGGTAATAGAAAGGTTAAAATAGATCAGAATCAAGTTAAACTTAGCTTAGCTTACCACATGAAATCCAATAGTTGTGATCTGTAAGACACTTTAGGAGGTCAGATTTTTGCATGAAATCCATCTAAAAAGATATAACTAGTTCCCTAAAAAATTCGTGAGGCAGATAACACTGTCTAAACCAGGTGAGTTGAGCCCGCTATACTGCAGCGGGTGCCAATGACAAAAACAACACTCATGAGTTATTCATGAAATGTCACGTTCCCATATGACGGGATCCCTGCCTGATCTAAAGGATTGGTTAAACGTCAAAGATGAATGATTAGAATTTATCGAAGAAATCTTTGTTTCTTCTAAGTTCCATTCTCTTGACGGACATTACTCATTAACCAGTGATTAACCAAAACAACTGATGTCTCAAGTTTCCCTGGATGAAGGAGTATTTCAATTCTGTCAACATGTAAAATTCTTAGTTTCCGGATATATAATTCACCAAATATCTAGCCTGTTCCAGGCATTCAGACCATGGGGAGCGAGTTAACTGTACACGGCGAGCGCAAGACGGAAAACGAAGAGAAAAAACGTAGTGAGACTTGGTCTCCTCTCGCTTTTTTCCCTCGTAAATATCAGTTTCGTCCTCGCCCTGCACTGAACGCCTGGAACAGGTTATCAAATATCACTGACTAATTTATAAGTTAAGCATAACTTTTGGATGCATCTTACCGACTTATTCAGAATAAAAAGCATTGGTCTGAATCATGCATTACTTACAGGCGTTTTTTGAGCGGGAGAAAGTAGTTTCAACATGACCACTGGAAAAAATAACGGATTCCCATTTTTTGATATTTTAGGGTATTTACAGAATGCCCACATAAATCCCAAATTTGGAAGAGTGAGACAAGTCCCAATCAGGGAACTTGGTTGGGAATTCCCTGGTTGGGACTTGTCGCACTTTGCCAATTTTGGGATTTTTATGGGTATTCTTTAAATACCCTAAAATATCCAAAAATGGGAATCCGTTATTTTTTCCTGTGGACCCTTTTACGTTGACAGAAAAATTTGCGCGCCCGTAGAAAACGCCTGTAATGCTGACTTAAGGGTTCCCTATCTTGAGGGAAGGGGGCGACTGGACGACCGGGTTCCTCCCCCTAAGACGCTACTTCAGACTGCGGCTGTAAATAATACACGTTGGTCAGATGGAGTCAGATTCAAAGTCGTAATCAGAGATTAGAGACGCCTAGAGTCAGCTGTAGAGTTAAAACCGGAAGCTCCGATTCCGCTTTTGACAAGCGCTCACGGACTAGTGTAAATCAGCTTTACGTTTGTCGGAATTGCAAGCAGAACCGAAAGAAGTAAGCCACTTACAAGTCCCTATACGGCGCCTCGGTCAATCCATTTTGGTGAACGTATCGCTTGGACCACGTGACCCAAAACGCATACGCAGTGCGAAACAGCTTACGCGAACTCCGCGGACAACCTTGTCTTCAGATCAGAAGCAATGGAATGAAGTCTTAAGGAGCAGGAAGTAAATGGAAACGTTCTCATTCTTGCGTCTTCGATTTCGTCGAGCTTATCAGTGACTCCATTTACGACTACGATTTTGATTCTAACTAGATCATATAGAGCGCTCACACGACTTTGACCCGTCACCAGTGAAAAATTCTCTTTAAGATATGGACTGGTATGGCCAGCTAGTTATGACAAATAGCGCCCTAAGACATTCTCTAAACGATGAGTGACGCTAAAGTAAACAATTTCATAGAGTAAACTTAAAAACTGAAGAACCGCGGGGAAGGTTAAACGGGACAAAAAATACAAGCATAAAAGACAAAATCAACCTGCAACAATTGAGTCACGAGGCTCAAAGGGTGTTTTTGCCTTTATTCAGTTTTATTCAGTTTTTACTTCTAAGCGTTTATACAGTGCAAATGGTGGTATGCAAATAGAAACGAAAAGGGAGGAAAGAACAAAGACCGACAACCAGACGCAACTCTTTACGAGGTATGAACACTCTAATGGATCTCCCTGTGGTCTAAACTGCAAGAACACCAAACTTTCCTAATATTCGCAGGCAGCATAAACAGGTTAGCATCAAAAAGGCTTCAGGTCAGACTAAATTCTTCTTGGTTGCAAGGTGACTTAGTAGTAGTTCAGTTAATAAAACTTCACCTCACAATACACCATATTCCCAAACACTGAGCCGATCAGCAAACGATCTTTGTAAAACATTGCGGACGAGGAGCCCGTCACTTCCTTGCCATCATTCATGTACACCTCGCGAACCTCGTAATGAGGAAAAGCTTCCCCGGATGAAGATGGCTTTCCCAGATTCAAAGTGAAAACTTGAGAAGGACTGGGAAGACTGAGGTTCTTTTGGTTGTGTTCAATAAAGTCAATTAAGCGAGGCATTCCCGCAACCCAAAAATTTCCAGTCACAGGGTCAAGGTTGATGTTATCTATAAATGATCCAACTGGAATTGTCTGTTGAAGAAAAACAGAGTTTTCAGGTATAAGAATACCGCAGGGTACCATGAGAAAAGGCAAAAATGGATTCAAACAAAAATCGACGACCTTTTCAGGCGTCTGCAGGTGGTCTAAATAACTCCATTCCCAACCTTTCTCTGCTCCAGTGCTGGAGATATTAAGGACTCAATCGCCCCATATAAGGGAATCCAAGACAGTCTTGGATTCTGGATTCCACACCGTGGAGTCCGGATTCCATGAACTCTATTACGCATTCTTTGTCAGCGGAACCAGCAACCTCGTTCCCAGGGCCCCAATTTTTTTTTAGGGAAAAAGCCCTGGGAAATAGGTTATGAAACCAGAATCGTTAGTGGGATTCCGGATTCCTTGAGCTGTATGCCAGGTTCCAAAGCCTAGGATTCCAGATTCCACAAGCACAAATCCCAAGATTCTGGATTCAACAGGCATGTATTTCCGGGATCCGGATTCCATTCAATCTAAGACCGAACTGACCTGACATTTTTCTAATGTGTTGTCTTGACGACGTCTGAAAATTGCAATACTTCCAGAAAGGTTGTCGGGTGTAAAAACGAGCCTACGAGAGAGTAAACCAAACAAGCATTCATTTTAACATAAGTAGGGGTTTCAAAGAATTTTAAGAAATACAAAAAGAAGGAATTCTTTGCATTCGTTGTTTAGGTCATTAGGCCCATTGTATAAGAGGAGAAAACAGATACCACGTTCTCGGGGGCAAACAAGTGATAACTCTGCCGATACAAGAAATCGCGGTCGAGTTTGTTTATTCTAGGCAACAGAAAATAAAGAAAACTTTTTCTTTTAAAAACGATAAAGGCAAGTTATTGGTGGAGGTGATCATTTTTATTTTTTTGGATAGAGTAGCGACCGTAGATGACCCAACAGCAAGCAATACTAGCGTAAAAGTTGTCGGAACTCGAACTGTACATCTCGCAGGACTGAAATCATCGCCAAGTTTTGAGAGGTGGTGGACAAAACCCTGACCCCCAGTCCACGGACTACCCTAAAATGGACTACGCCGCTGAACTTTAGTGATTTGGAGTTAGAAAACTGAGGGAATCAAGTTTCAGGTTAGTTTTCCCAATATAAAGACCCCAAATGGAACCTGATTGTCTCAATTTCCTACCCCTTATCACTAAACTTCAGCGGCGTACGTAGTCTATTTTAACCGAGGCTAGTCCATGGGGGTAGTCCATGCACTGGGGGTCGGTGTTTTGTCCACCACCGTTTTGAGAGAATAAACAACCTCGACCGTGATTACTCGTATTGGCGACTCTTATCACTTGTATTCCCCCAAAATTACCACCTGAAATTGCTTTTATCCCATCAATCCTAAAAAGTGTGCAAAGATGGCAGGTATCGTAATAAACTTTTCTTCTCCCCGTAGGTCACTTGGCATTACACTTTATGGACACTCGAACTAACCTTTCGTCTTTATCCATAGCAATACCATTAGGATGAACTCCTACAAACGCTTTAATGGCCTTGAAACCATCAAAAAACACGATGTTACAAGGTAGCCAGTACTTGAGTAAAAATCCCCACAGGTTTCTCATTACGGTGCTTTCAAAATGAAAGAAGTTGTCGATGGTGACGTAAAAGCTATCAGGACCTGCAAAGCATAAATAAAGAACGAAATTTATCATCTCACGTTTTATATTGTAGTGTAGGCATTAGCCTGCAGAGTAGGCGTTATCTTTTCGCGTTTTTTAGGCAAGAAAAGGCAAACACGAAGCGAGCGAGGAGCGCTAGAAACGCATCTAGCCCCGTCGCGGGTCTGGCGCTCCTGTCTCTTTTCGAGATTGACTTTGCTCACCTGAAAAACGCGAAAAAAAATGACGCCTGTTATCACTTGGGCCCAAGGAGGGGGATACCTAGCCTTTGCCTAGCTAGGGTGGAGAATTTGAACCGAACGTGTCAAGTTTAGCTTCTTTGTACGATCCGGGTCTGATAACGTGGTTCGATAGCCGTTGATCTTTCGAATAGTGAGATAGAGCAGTTTGAAGGGAAAGAAACAGCTTTTGTAAACACATCGCTTGTTTGAAGGACTGTTAAAGTTACAGGTATGCGCTACATCGAGTGTTTAATTTTTCCGATCAACGTAATGTGGATTCATCCAAGTCTATTTTTAAAATTCACAATGTGCAAAACATTTGACTACTACATTTGGCTAATGTACCGGTAACTTCAGACGAGTCATGCGTTGCTTACTACGACAGGTTTCACTTTCAATGAAAACCCAAAGCTGAGGAAAGACTCGCATTTAGGGGGCACTCGACTGAATGACTGGAATGAGACCACGGGAAGCAGCGAGGTTCCCTATCGATGCGCAATGCAACCAGGGCGAACAGACCGCAGGAGCCAGTGGGTTCCAGCCGACCTTCCGTCCGTTCCGGTTTATGTAAGCCATCAAAAAATGACACAGATACCCAGAAATACAAAGCATGCAGTAATATCAAAATGAGAATGCAATATCTTTCTTTTATACTACAGTATCCTTCCCAGCATTCATAACAATTCAATTGACAGCTGTCAAAATGGGGCATCCACTGGCCCGCATAGCTTGACTGCATCTCTGTCTTAGCTGTAAATATCGCGCCGTTGGGGCAATCCCGTCCCCAGGTCTCCCCAAGGTCTTCTCTTTTTCCAAGAGAAGGCTCTGGGGTTGAGGTCGCTAATGAGGTCGATCGAGGTCACGTATTCTTTTGAAGCCATCCGATGACCAGTTGATAATTTTCTGAGGGTTGCAAGCTTTTTTTAAGTTTTGTATGAGGGCTTCCACTTTCAGGCTTGGCTTAAGCTATATGTTAACAGGTAATTCCCTTATATGTGGCCTTAAAAACTTTTTACCAAAGGGCAGAGCAAAGATATTTGATGGTACAGCCGACTAAGTCTTAACGGACACCTCTGTAAAATGGTTGGTCCCCAGCGTTCTTTTTCCCTTTTATTTGACTCTCTATAAGAAGGACGTCTCTCAGACGGACATTTAGTACCGGTCCCAAAAGGTGTCCGTCTTTCTATAATTTCATCCCCAGTCATTAGAATGTGAGATGGCCATCAAATGATTGCCACCTCTGTAATTTTTCAGGGGTCACTTACCAACTGCATATACATCATTTGGACTCCAGATCAAATCATCCACCACGGAACGGCGATGTATTAATGAACGTGTTTCCCGCTCAAAGTCAAATATTTCAATGGCTTGTGCATCTGGTCGGTGATTCACAACAAACAAGGATACCTGACCCGAGGATGGGTCACGATACACGCTAATCCCATGAGGGTTAAATCCCTTGCGATCGAAGTTCTTCAATGTTAGTTCAACTGGATCCTGGTCAGGTTTGTTGAAGTCAAACGTTAACAGCTTACCATCTCGTTTGTCAATCTCGGGATCATACCAGAGTCCTGCTGTATTGCGGAGTCCCTGTTTGCAAATCAGAAAAGAGAAAAAGAGTAACTTCATCCTCATTAGAGCGGTTTTCATTTGAGTGTCGAAAAGTAATTGGTTTTGCACTTTCTACACGATGCGATTGGCTTAAAAGATTCGCGCCACCTTTTCATCCAATCAGAAGTAAAACCAAAGCCAATTGTGACGCGCTCGCATGCATTTTCCCGCGCTTTGCGTCAGCCACATGTAATTACTTCGAGTTTTGATTGGTTCAATGTATTGTCTGTGTCCTATGTGATTGGCCAGAGTAATTACTTTGGTTTTGGTTTTACGACACTCAAACGAAAACCACTCTATCATCATTATCATCACAATCACCTAAATCATAATCATTATGATCGTAATTACTATTATCAATATTGACATGATTACTGGTGATGTGATCAACGTTAAAACAGTGTGCTTAATACTTTCTCTTTTTATTTATTTTCTCATAAATACATATCCAACATTTAGATCAGCCCTAGTTTAGTATGCAAGACAGCTGTGATAGATATACCAAATAACTGGTCTAGAGCAGTACAAGTGGAGCTAATTCAGAGAAAGAAATCTTCACCAGTACTTACAGAAGAGACAAAAACCAGTCCATCAGGGAGAAGAGCAAAGTCCTCAGAGCCATTTGCTAAAAAGTAAACAAGCAATCATGACTCTACACAAATACGTAATACAAATAAACTCCATTATGCTGGACCGGCGAACAATGCAGTGGGTCCCAAAGTAAGAAAATAAGCTTCTCAAGTGATGGAATGTCTTTGTTTTTCAGCCCCAATGTTTCTCATGCTCTCCACTGCGATCACGTACATTTTGAGACTTTTTTAGAGCCAAAACATTGAAAGACTGTTGAATGAAATATTGTGTGAAAACAAGAATTTAACATAGAGAGATGCCAACCTGAAAGGATCTAGAATCTGGAGGCTCTCTCGTTTGCAGTGCACCAATACTACTATTGTCAATTCAGTCCGGTGTCCACTTAATAGAGGTGTTTAACAATAGAAATTGGCCGAATACAATTTATTTTAGTGTCCGCGTCTGCTTAATAGAGGTGTCCGCTGAATAGGGGTTCGTTTTAAAGGGAAATACAAGACATTAACTTCGGGACCCGGGTTAGTGTCTGCTTAATAGAGGGTGTCCGCTTAATTGGGGTCCGCTTAACAGAGGTTTCACTGTATAGTTTCTAGACCAAAATCTGTGTTAACTTTCGTCAGGAACATTAAATTACTTCAATTACTTCACTTTTAGTTACAGTCAAACCTCTTGGTACGGATACTTCTCGAATACGAACACCTCTCTTTTACGGACAGTTTCCAATGTTCCGACAAAATTCTCATATATTTTCTTTAAAAAAACCTCTATAATACGGACTCTCTGTAATACGGACAACGGACACTAAATCTGCCAAATCTCGGCCCCAGAGTCTGAGTAAATTCATTTAAAATTAACCTCTTAATTAAAGACACTGCGGTGATCAGGTGAATCCCGAATCCCAATCAGGTGATCATGAATCTCCACAGGATGAATCCCGTCGAATCTGGCTGATGAGCTATGCAAGGTGATATAAACGCCACTCACTGTATACCAAACAACGATTTGCGAAAGGTGTACAGAGAAACATAACTGACTTTTTGAAGGCTTCAATAACTACAGATAGCATAAAGATCTTTCCTATTACATGCCTTTTGTACTCTAGTTACTGTTTACTGCACTTGCAAAATAGCGAAAGACGCGTTCAGAATTGTGCTTTACGTTACAACTTTTTACATGCAGCATTGCACTGGAGCTCGTTTCTTTTGAAAACAGTAATTTTTCTTTGGCTGAGACGGAGAACGTTGTATGTTACTGAAAGACACTGTCTTTGTACTGTGAATTAATAACCTTAAATGTAGTTTAAAGACGAGTGTGAACCTGGTTTTAGCTACTGAACACTTAGAACTTAGCCTGCGTAGGAAGCGTTTCCTCGCGAGGTTCGTCTAGAAAGCTGGGACAAGAGCAAAAAAAAAAAATGAATGAGGGGGAGGGGGAAGGGAACGAAGGAACGTCACCATAGTGACCTCTTTTATAGGGACATGCACCTCTCTAATACGGACACTCCGCTCTGTCCCTTCTGTGTCCGTATTAGAGATGTTCAACTTTTAATCATGTGCGCATCTGCACTCTGCCTACAAAACTCAGGCACTGAAAACTGTTCACTTGGACAATGAATACTATTCTTCTTGTGCTCAACGTTAGTGTCTCAAAACTATAATGGCTTTTTGTATCATAGCTACTTAAATAATAGTTATGTACATGTATGTGTATTTTTTTAAATCACTTCTTCATCTTTAATTTATTTGATTGGTGAATTTTAATGTATTGAAACATTTAATCATTTGAATGAATTCTATAAATTTGAATAAGCTAATTTCCTTTGGAGATACCAGCCTGGTGGCAGCTGTTCCTAGTGGAAGGGAAGGAAGAAATGATTTCGCCTTTTTTGCTATCGAAAATTTAATAGTTTTTAATTGATGACTGATTGACAGTTATTCGAGAAAAAAGAAACAGTAAATTTCGTGTTATTCACGTGCAAATGAAGGCATAATTTATTCTCAAATAGACAAACTAGAAGCCATCACATGACGTATATCAGAGAAAACAACAAGGTTAATTAAGAATCAATTCTGCGTTGTGCAATGGCTGTAAAAACTCATTAAACTTGTTGTTGTCTCTGACAAACGTCGTGTGATGGCCTCTAGTTTGTCTATTTGAGAATAAACTACAAAGTGCAGGGAAACCTTTTTAGAGTAATTAATAAGCTTCATTTCGAGTAGCTCGTGGGCTCTCCACCTTGTCATTCAAGTGAATCGTCGAGCCGCTGAAAATAAAGTGGATTGTCTTATGTAATACGTAAGACTTCAACCACGACTGACGAACTGCCACCCCAGTAAAATATATGCCTTGCCTTTTCTTTATACTCATACCTATAAATATATCTGTTTTCCTTAACACATGAAATTAATTATTTACCTTTCTTGTTCTGCATGGGCTGTTCATGCATCTATCATGACTAGCGAGCCGCCGAGCTGGTGACCGGTCGTTTCGCCTAACGTATATCTGGTCTTATGTCGTTCCGCTAAGAAGCGAAACAAGCGGTGCGTACGTATATGCTTCGTTCTCTCAGCCATGATACAAAAGAGTGCGATACGCAAGTATATACCTCGTTCTTTCAGCCTCTGATCAGGCGCAAGCAGTTTGGCAACTGATCCAACAAGTACGCGAAACGACTTCAGAAGTTTGCGAACACGGTAGACTGCCGAGGCCACTTCTACAAAGTCCTTACTCTGTATATAAGTGAAGAATCTGTTTAGAAAAACTTACCTTGTATCACTTTACAAGGTCCAGGGGAGTGGTTCAAAGTCTTCGTAAAAAAACCAAGAGCAATCCTAGAGAATATCCAAGGACCAAGGACATGCATTAAACACTCGATGCATTTGAGCTTTTAATAGGTTCACAAACTATTATTCGAACCAATGGAACACATCTATTTTTCACTTACAGGACTGTTAATACGTGTGAAACCACAATAGCGATTAAAGCACATACAATAGTGACTTCTAAAGTTAACAGTCGACCCATGGATTCGGCGTGTGAAGTCTTACAGACAGTTGTGCATCACATTCAGTTGCCCGCACTGCTTTAAGTTCTTGGCAAAATGCACAGTGTTCAAGATTGCGTGACATACCTGACCTCCACCCGGCCACGAAGACTGGAGTCTTCTGGCTTATAAATCAAAGAAAGACTATTCGTGGGTACGTTCTGGTTTTCCCACAGTGAATTTGAGGAAATGATAGAAATTCATATTATAAATATACTATCCTTGTTCTAGAAACACAATACTTTTCTTGCTGTTTAAGACAAAACAAAAAAGAAAAAAAAAGGAAGAAGGGAAAAAGAAGGTCTTTAGCAGGAATTGAACCCGGTATCTTCGGTTTGACCGGACCTCACATGGCCACCACGCCATTGAGGATGATCACATGACGTGGCGAAAAGTCTCAAATTTAATGCCTTTTCCATGGAACTTCCGCCGGCAAACGACCGGGGCAAACGATCGAGCCATAAAAACGACTCGAAGCAATGGGATGAAATTAAGGCTAATTGAAACCAGGCTACTGACAAGTAAACGCATTTCATGGCAGTGAAAGAACATATGCGATACAAAGCCGACACAACTCCTCCGCGAAGTAGGACGCAAAAGTCTTATCTCGATTTCCGCTGTTATTTTAAAAAGGTAATGCTCAAACTCACATGGGCACTCACACACACACTTGGGGAGTCCTTAAGAAGAAGAAGAAGAAGTGCCTTTATTTACCATACATTTCACCAGTCCGTATTTTATAGTCCGTATTTTATACCCAGTCCGCAGTCCGTAGTCCGCAATCCTTGTTTTATACTGACCGCCACAAATTCATTCATACATATAACCTACTACAGTACTACAAGGTAGGAGATCAAGCCAGCGTCGAAGTTGAAGGAGTCGAAGAGCAAATGCTCATCTTCTTGTCAAGTTTAACGCCTGAACGGGTCAAAGGCTTTCGAATCGTACTAATTTGGAAGATTCCTGCCTGTCTTAAATTTGGTAAGACCTCTATCCTAACCGTGCTGTAGCGCACGATGCACGCTCGCAGCGAGGAATTTGATGCTACCGAACTTCGGCGAGCGCGTCCTTCTTTGGAAACGATAGATCTTCGCGCTCTCGAGTTCGGACCCGATTAATTACGAAGTGCATCTACTACGAGTGAGCGAGTGACTCATTTGCATATCTCAGTCCCTGCAATAACTCGTGGTACGCTCGCGCGTACCCACGAGTTAAAAAGGGGTTTTACGAGGGCTTATAAACGAAGTCGGGGGGAGGGGGGGGGGGTGGAGCTTGTCCCCGCGAGAGCTTACGACAGGACTAAAAACGCGTTTTAAAAGAAGTTACATAACAGTGCTAATTAACGAACGTTTTTAATTTACCCGCTTTTTTAAGCTTCAAAAGGGCTACACTGGGCATTTGTCAAGGGCTGTGATGTTCCCGCGATGGGGCGTTTGTCATAAAAATTCTGCCCGGCTGCAGGGAATTTTCGTGAATGAAGCACAAACATCAAGCACAAGCTTACTAAAGAGAGTTTTGGCGTCTTGAAACTTCGTGTTAAAATTAAAATGTTATCGTCTAACAGAGGAAAGCGATTTTCAATAAAAGAGCACTCTGTTGAGGAGAAAAGCCGACTATAAAGGCGTTTGGGAAGCTTTGACGAGAATTTCAGGAGGCAATTGCAAAGATTGTCATCGCAAAAAGCCATACTTATGAAACAAAAATACATTTCTTCGTCGTGGTCAATTTTAACGGTAAGCAGATTCGTCTTCGATGTCAGGGTCTGTCAGAGCTTCTCAGAGATCGGGATACTCTTATGTAAGTATCTTCTACATTGTACTTGATTTTTATCAAGAACTTCGTTATTGTTTTTTACTTTCACTAGTAAAGTTAACACTGTTTCAGCCATTTACACACTGCGTGAATTAACGATTTTAAGCCTCTTTCAAGGAAACATACCTTTTGTCTCATCCCCAGAGTGAATCATTTAGCACAAATTTTAAACCCTACGGAGGGGTGGAGGGGTTATTGTATGAAACTGCTGGTTCCACCGTGGGCCATTTACAGCGGTTGGAAAGAAGACCGGGCACACCTTCGTGGCACGCGCCGGTTGTTTCTTTGTTAATTTCTCTGATAGAGCGCGCGAGGGGAACGCGCGAAGGGGATAGTTGATAGTGAGGTCTGCGGGGCAGGCGCCTCCTCTCTTTTTCTCCCCTCGAACGCGCGCGTAACCTCGATATTTCTCTTTTTCGCCCTAAAAAAACCGGCGCCTGTTACGCAGGCTACACTTGGAATTGACTGAGCCATGACGTTCGTAAGCTACCCTTAGCAGGTTGAAAAGCATCAGAGATCAGAGGTGCAGTTTTCTTGGTTGTATAACGACTTTGCAACAGTTTAATAAGACTTCACTTCACAGTACACCATATTACTATATACAGAGCCGATCAGCAAACGATCTTTGTAAAAAATAGCAGACGAGGAGCCCGACACTTCCTTCCCGTCATTCATGTACACTTCGCGAAGCTTGTAATCAGGAAAAGCTTCCCCGGATGAAGATGGCTTTCCAAGCTGCAAATGTAAAACTTGAGAAGGACTGGGAAGACTGAGGTTCTTAGAGTGTTCAACGAAGTCAATACCGCGAGGTATTCCCGCAAGCCACAGATCTCCAGTCACAGGGTCAACGTTGATGTTATCTATAATTGATCCAATTGGAATCGTCTGTTTAAGAAAACCACAGTATTAAGGTATTAGAAATGCGTAAGATAGAATTAATTTTGAAAGGGACCGCCTCCCGAGGAGCCTGGGATTCAAAATTTCCCCCCGCCCCACACCCACCCACCACCTCTCACTTCCCTTCACCCATCGTTGCTGCTAATGATATCAAAGCCTCAATCTGAAACACGCGAACTCACCTGACACTTTTCTAATGTGTTGTCTTGACGACGTCTGTAAATTGCAATGCTGAGGGAAATGTGGTCGGGTGTAAAAACAAACCTACAAGGGAATAGAGGATGGCAGGGAATTAAATCATTGTTTACAGCTGATTTCTGTTACACCCGCATGGCGTGGTAAAAATTTTCATCTTCATCTTCAGATATACACCAGTACATACTTCCGGTGCAGCTCAGTTTCCTATGACCGCTATGACTGCTATATATAAAGCGCTGAAAAAATTTCAGCGATTGCAGTAACCTGAGAAAACAGCCGACGTTTCCAGACGTCGCCACTGATTTTCCCGCGAGATGTCGTGTGAGGAACGAGTGCAGAAATCCCACACCGATGACGTGTCACTACCCTGTTCTGGAAAGTGCTTCTGATTGATTGTTTTCTGTGCCGCGAGAGAAATTTGCCTCAACCATTCAGAAGCACTACAAAAATATGGGTACAGTGACAGGTCATAGTATGGAATTTGTGCTCTTGTTCTTGGACGGTCGTTTCCTCGGGCTACGATTGCAGGGAATAAATGAAAACAATTCTCCAACGATAATGGCCATCGTATATAAAAAAAGGCGAAAGCAACAAAATGTAATAAGCACGCGTCGTTATTAAACCATTTACAGTTCAGAAAAAAAATTGTCCACTCCACTGGACAAAGAACGACGATTGCACAATCCCGGTTTTTTTTTCTTTCGCTGTTCCCAATGGGTCGCTGGGTGCCGCACTTTATCGACATTCGAACTAACCTTTCGTCTTTATCCATAGCAATACCATTAGGATGAACTCCTCCAATCGCTTCAACGCCCTTAAATCCATCAAAAAACACGATGTCACAATGCAGCCAGTAATTGAGTAAAAATGTCCACAGGCTTCTCATCACAGTGCTGTCAAAATGGAAGAAGTTATCGTTGGTGACGTAAAAGCTATCAGGACCTGCAAAGGATAAATGAGGGAAAACAATGTCATTATCTCACATGTTATTTTGTTACACGGTTATCAGATAACTAGCTGAGCAGGACAAACCAAATAAACAGCCACTTATCTGGGCTACTTTTTTCCACAGTGCTGGTTACGTAGCCACTTAGTCTTAGACTTGGTAGATTGCTAACTAAAACAGGTTAATGTAACGCTGGCAACAGTCGCAGCGTTGAACATGGCAAAGTACAGTTCACCGCGGCGCAGATAAGTAAACAACCTAGTTCTTATTACTTAAGATGGTGATGATGATGATAATGATAATAATAGTAATAATAATAATAATAATAATAATAATAATAATAATAATAATAATAATAATAATAATAATAATGATAATAATTAAAGCCAATCACTAAGAACTAAGTAGTCAAAGCTAAGACACTGGATGGGTTACACAATGACTCTCTGTGTTGTACAACTCTCATCTGCCTGTCCAGAGAAGGCATAGAAAGAATAAAAACAGAGACACGATGGAGTAGCTAGGGCCGGCCATATTGGTGTTCCAAACCAGTCCTGTGGGAGTTGAACTCTTTTCTGATGTAAGCTATTTCTTTTGTTCCAATAAATTTGCATAGATGCTGGACACGTGAGTGAAAACACTCTCTACGCAGCTTCGAAAACGACAAAATGGTAATGGGGTCACCGTGTTGCTTTGGATACGTCGATCATGAAAAACTGACTTTTTTTGAAACTCCGGTGATCACCCTAAGTGTAACGAGCACAATTCGATTTCCTGCTTTGTTTGAGACCTCTTTGCATTTCGAGTTCAAGGAGAGAGCGTTATCACTGAAAAACAGGATCGAGCCACCTTAATTAACTAGACACTTACCTACTGCGTATAAATCATTAGGACTCCAGATCAAATCATCCACCACGGAACGGCGATGTATCAGAGAATGTGTTTCCCGCTCGAAGTCAAATATTTCAATGGCTTGTGCATCTGGTCGGTGATTTATAACAAACAAGGATACCTGACCCGAGGATGGTTCTCGATACACACTAATCCCATGAGGATTAAATCCCGTGCGATTGAAGTTTTTCAGTGTTAGTTCAACGGGATCCTGGTCAGGCTTGTTGAAGTCAAACGTTAACAGCTTAGAGTCTCGTTTGTCAATCTCGGGGTCACAATAGACTGCCACTTTATATCGGATTCCCTGTTGACAAAAGAGGAAGCAAAACCTATCAACCCTCTTGCGCTAGCAGTCAATGAATTCTCCACGGTCATTATTTTCATACGCCCGCTCCACTATCTCTAAAGATAGCCATTTTGGTGGCCATTTTGTTTTAAAGTTATTCTTGTTATCTTAAAAATTGCGCTAGAAACTCAGTTTAATGTCCACGAAAAAAGCCGTTCAATTTCCCAGCTATATATTGATGTTTTTTGGATTTTTTAACTTTGAAGGTCCACTTCACAGATAAGCCAAGCATAGTTCATCCTCAGAGACCCAGGGGAATATAGTGGGGGCAAGGGACTGATATTTTATAGTCTGAAAAGGCGGAAAAAAAATGGCGCAAAGAAAAGTAAAGAACCGGGAAAAGAAAAAAGTAAACAGCTCTTCTTCCCGGTCGTTCTTTACTTTTCTTCGCGCCATTTTTTCCCGCCCGTTTAGACTTTCCCTTGCCCTACTATATGCCCCTGGGTCTCCAAGGATGGGTGTAGTTAATCCAATTGATACCGATTTCCGATATCAATCGATAGAAATCGATAAAGAAAAAAGTTGTGAGTTCGATTACTTTCGATTTTGCGATAGAAATCGATAATAGTCGATTTATCGATTGTTATCAATCACTCAACCTCGTTCTCAGAGTCCTCTCTTACTGAGAGAACCCTGGGAAAGAGGTTGATCAATTACTATTGATTATTATCGAAGAATAGTTATGGTGGCTGAGCACAGTTTTGGAAGTTTGTGAGTATATGTCACTTGCCATTTGCCATCATGGCAAGAGAAGGGTTGCAGCTCACAAGCTGAAACTTTGCAAGTGAAAAATATACTGATGAAAGATTTTGATTGACAGGTAAAATTTAACTTTTTCGTAATTTCTATGGCAACATGAACGATTGAATACAACCTTAAAATTTCACTTTTGCTCAGTTTACAGAAAAATAACTCATTAGATTTTCCTATAAACTTGCACCCAGCTTACTATAATAATCATTACCATTTGAAACTTATTTGACCAAATTTTAACAGAGGGGTTTTTAGACAATCAATAATATAATTGTACTGTAATTATTAAATGTGTCATAAAAATCGTCTGTTCAACATCCATTTTAAAATTCTCATTATTTAAAATATGATAAAAGTAAAAATTCTGGCAATCACAAAATTTTAATGAGTAGATTTTGAGAAATTGTCTTTTATGTTCTATTGCTATTTCGCTGCCATGTTTGTTTGTGTAATTTAAAACACTTGCCGTCACACGAGTTACCGCTGACCATGCGCGAAACTGTGTTCAGCCACCTTAAGTCATTCGGTGGAAGTTCAACAAAAGATGGCAGCGATCTGGAGGATTTCAATGTACCGCAATGATCTGGATTTCCAATCTGATCGAGATAGAAATACAAGATGCAGCTGATGGCACTGGATTGAATGGACATTGTAAAAACCTATTTAAGAAACCAAAGAAACAAAAAATGGGATGCGATGAAGACTACGCCTGAAGTAGTTGCTGAAGTTATAAATAAAGTGTTCAAGCTAAAGCTGGTCTTGTTGGTGTTGTTTGCCATAGAGCGTCGTCATGTTCAAAATATCTGAAAATATTGGTCCTCATGGTTAATATTTGGTATCGATTACTATCGATTGTAAACGATTTTTTCATCGATAATAATCGATGGATAATTGTTTCAGTGACTTCGATTTCTTTCGATTTCCAATATCAATCAATAACAAGGGCCTGTTTACATGAGGGTAGGGGGGCCCCAGGTAGGTGAGGTAACTCCCTTAGGTGGGATAAAAAAAACAACTCTCCTTTACATGCAATCTTTCTCAAGATTACTGAATGGTTGCTAAGCATGTAAACAAGAAAAATGTTGACAAACCATGTGTTTTGGCGATTAATGCTCTTCTACAGTCACTTGCGGCTCTTGCCGCAACCTTCAGAGCTGTGGCTTTCTATTGCTACCTTGAATAATCATGCAAAGCCACCGCCAAAGTGAATTTTGCACGAATTTGATGTATCACAAATCCGACCCCAGCTAGGGGGACTACCCCACCTTGAGAGGGTAACCCAGTTTGGCAGACCGGGCTACCCACCTTAACGGGTCACCCCACCTATCATGTAAACGTGATCAAATTAAAATGAGAGATTATATAGACAAGCAGGTTACCCCACCTAAGCAGGTTACCTGATCTACCTTGGGTCCCCCACATTTATTTCCAATATCGATTTCTATCAATTGACTACACGTGGAAATTAGGCCTGAGAATGTGCTGGGTGCTGCAAAAAAAACAAGAACTTACGGAAGAAACAAAGGCAAGTCCATCAGGGAGAAGAGCGAAATCTTCAGAACCGTTGGCTGAAAAAGTTAAGCAATCACAGTCCATTTTAGTAAAAATATCACTTAATGGTAGACTGCAAAACACTCGGTTTTTTTCTCAAAATCAGTAAAGAAATCGGTAAAGCGTAGCGTAAGAGTCTTACGCGCGCGAGCGTCTCTCCCCAGTCTCACTCTCTGTTTTCAGCCTCATTCCAGACCTTTTGTTTGACTGCTCGCGCGTACTTGAATACGCAAAAATACGGACTGTTTTGCAGTCTAACTTAATGGTAGCACAACTCATAATGACATTGTGTGACAAGAAGTGTGACTGCTGGAATCGGTTTGCTCGGCTCTTGGATTATTCACCTGCAAATACAACTGTTTCTCCTTGCTCCTTGTCGCTAAGGACGTTGCAAAAAGTCCCTGGCGGCGAGGAGCCAGGAGAAACAGCTGTATTCACAGGCTATAGGATTAAAGAGAGAGCAAACTGATTCCAACAGTCACGCTTCTTGTCACACAACGTCTTTATCAGTTGTTTTGAGCCTTCAGTCAACAAGAATATCAGACACTTTTTTCACAACTCTTCGCAACCCCAATAATCAGCGAATTCATCTCTTCTTGGAAGTATTCTCTGTACTGTTATTACAGTGTATTTGTCAGTACTCTGGGCCAGCGATATTAAAAAAACTGAACATCTGTGACACTCGAGTAATTCTAGTAGGGGTTGTCGCTTATCACAAACAGAAAACAAAAGAATGCGTGGTGTGTGAGAAGTGGTCGCCTACCAGAGAGTTTTTGAAACAGTATTTGGGTGAAAAACAAAACAGTTATTTACAAAGCGTTCGTTTACGAGAAGTAGAGTGGTGGCGCCGCTGACCTTCGCGTAGAACGCGTGACCAAACCCTAAGAACGCTACGGCGCGAACGACTTCGAACGAGCTAAAAACCACGCAGGAAAGAAACCTCTGCTAGCAGGGTAAACTTAAGTCGAACTCTAACCAGCACGTTTGATTCCCTTCACCGAGTGCATATTTTGAAAAAAGTATTGATTACGAGTATTATACAAGTAAAATTGAAACCTACCTTGTATCACTCTA